TAAATATAAAATAATAGTATTTGTCTAGTTTTGTATTGAAACTCAAATAGAACCAAAACTCATTTAACAAACAATAAAGTGATTCTTATAAAATATATTAAATACATTTGTTTTGTTTCAGAAACAATGTTTAACAACTTTAGAGGGGCACAGTAACTATGTATTTTGTTGCAATTTTCACGACTCAAATCTAATTGTATCAGGATCTGTAAGAAAAACTTTACCACAATTGTCATAAAAATTTTAATTGTTCATACTTAAGATGATTTTATGATTACAGTTTGATGAAAGTGTGAGAATATGGGACGTTGAAACTGGAAAATGTTTGAACACATTACAAGGTCACACAGATATAGTGAGTTTTGTTCATTTTAACAATGATGGTTCACTAATAGTGTCTATAGCAGTTATAATGGCTCATGGCAAGAATTTACTCTTAAATTTTAGAGATAAAAAATATTTTTACTTTATTTATAGAGTATAAGTATAAGCAAAATTATAACGTAGTTTTTCTCGCGTTTTTATGAATTTTTGCTTTTTGACTTTTAAAATTGCTATTATTTATTCGATCAAGTTTAAAAGGTTCAAAGTGTATTTCTATTGATTAAGCAAATGTTTCCTCGACCCAAATAAGGGCCACAAGGAAAATCATAAAAAGCACGCCGAGTACACAAAGGCAAAGCCCTATCGAATGATCCTTCCCGGTTAAGGCTACTCTTGTCAACCCGCGAACCAACCAATCTGGCATACAACATAAAGTAATCGGACCAGGCGTTTGTGTAGTCCTGCTTCGTTTACCATCCATTCGTCGTGCCAGTTGTTCGTCTTTTAAATTTTCGACGGTTTCGTCATGTATTTTAATTTCATATTGAGGGCCTCCGTTATTCTCATTCATTAAATAGGGTAGATATTGCATCAAATGCTGTTTCGCAGCATTCCAGTTGGGTCCCCTTCCGATTTCAGGTGGTATTCTCACCTCCTGAGTCCGTGATTTTGATAGCTGAGACTCGTCTGAACTTTCACTGTACCGGTCAAACGACACGTCACCCTCTGGCAAATCTCCATCGATACTCGTAGATCGATCCACTAAAAGTTTCCTCTCCTCACTCGTCGATGGATTCACTCCAGGTTTTTCCTGCCCACTAGTCGATGGATCCACTCCAGATTTCTCCTTCTCACCCGTCGATCGTTCCAATCCCGTTTTCTTCTCCTCACTCGTCATTTTTCGGTCGAACAAAAAATTGAAATTAGGATACACGTGAATTTATTACTGAATCGGCTCTTTGAACCTTGTCCACTACTTTAGTTAATGGTCAATTTTATCCCACTGTTAGACTGTGTGAGGTGCCTTAAGGTAGTCTTATCAAATAACTTATCGTTCAATAGGAAAATCTCTGCGATTTCGTCGACAGTGTACCGCTTGTTGCAACATCTGCGTGTGTGTGCGTGGCTTTTTTGCGTGATATAGGGCGTTTCCCGAATGTCACAAAATGGTCACTTTACAGTTTCCCTAGAAAAAAGTTCATGTAGGGTCCGCGAAATTCCTACAGGAATCCTATAGGACTCCTGTAGGAATCTTATGGAATCCTACAGGAAATTTTTTCAAAGGTTTGCCAGGTGGCATATCAAATAAGGTCTCTCATTTATTCAACCCGCAACACTTTCTTTATTATGCCACCATGCAAAGTAGTAAAGTGACTATTTTGTGACAATTGGAAAACGCCCTATTGAGAAAATGTTGGTTTTTGAAATTTGAATTTCTCATCGAGGTTTATTTCATTGTTGAGCCAACCCATGAAAGCAAAGTAAAATTTATAAAATTAAAATTCTACTTTGAGTCCTTATAAATCAATGAGAAATGGACCTATATATTCCCATTTTTTACGTACTTATCAAGTTTATTATTATGTAGCTATATATGAGAATTGTCCAAAATTTATAAATTTTGTGAACTCTCGTATACTACAAAATTTTGTTACCTGAGACGTCATGGCGATTATACGATTTGTAAAAAAAGTATATTCAATTAGTTTTTTGATTTTTAAACGTCAACGCAATATGATTAATATTTAAAAAAAAAACACATAATTTAAGGCATCACAAAATGTTACTCTGCTAGTTTTAAATTTTCTTAGAGATCGTTAGAAAAAAATTCTTATGCGAAAATTCGGATAAAATTTGTGTAGCTATAGTTTATGAGGTATATTTATCGAAAAAATGATTTCGATACATGGGCCCAATATTTTTACGTGGTACAATCAACGTTTTTGGAGAATCTCGGTTTATTTAAAAATAATTCTAAATTTTGTTAGAGCTGGTTTCGAATGCAGTGTCGCAGATCAAGGTGTGACCGAAGATAACGTTCTGGTTTACACTGCAAAAAATTACACGATTTATGTGAATTCATTGTGAAGGATACATGACATTTAAAACAATCAGTGGTCTGCGGTTGAATAAAGTAACTTTTAAAGTATGTAAAAAAATTTTTTCAAAAATTATAAGTATGCATATTAGACTGACAATAAAAATCGATTTCTTTTAAATCGTCGGGACTCCCCCTCAATGTTTTCAAACCCGCAAAAAAAAATCTCTGCAATATTTCAGCTCATATGAGTCGTTTTCTCGTATTATACACGTACGGGTTTTCTATTTAGTTTAATGTAAATTAACACTCGTCTTGTGGCACGGGTTTTTTTCACTCATACGAGTTTGCAGAGATTATTATTTTTGGGGGTTGGAAAAGATTAAGGAGGCGTTGCCACGATTAAAAAAAACCGATTTTTTATTGTCAGTTTAATGTATATGGGTGAAAATAATACTTTTTTAAATTTTCGTCCGCACGTATGTCACCGATCTTGACGCGCTTTTGGTATGTTATAGTACACGATAAAAAAGTGCCAAACCCAAAATTTGGGACCCCCTCTTCCCCTCATACCCCCCTCCTCCCCTATAAACGTCCATTTTCTATGTATATTTTTTCTGAAGGCTTGAAGCATTAAAAAAATCTGAAAAAATTCACAAAAATACTTTTCAACAATCCGAAAAACCTTGAATTTTTTCAGATTTTTTGAGTGCTTCAGGCCTTCAGAAAAAATCATTGAAAATTTTGAAAATTCATATAAGGCGTTAGAATGCAATAACTTTTTCGAAAATTTTTTCATTTTTTTATTTCATTGAAAAAAGTAACCTCAAATTTTTTCAAATTTTTTCGGACATTTGAACGCACCTTTTGAAGCCAAAAACCGCTTTTTTTGGACGGAAATAATTTTTTTAGAACGATACGGAGCCTCGAAAAATCTGGAAAAATTTTTTTCTTGTTTTTTTCATCAAAATACATAACCTCAAATTTTTTCAGATTTTTTTATTAATTTAATTTAATTTTAATTTAATTAATTTACGGCGATAGCCTGTAGGGCCCAAAAATGCTATTTTTAGAAAAAAAAAAGGTTCCTAGAACCCGATGGTTCCGGTAAAAAAATTTGGAAATATTTTTTTTTAATTCCTTGTCAAATTTTAATAAAATTTGACCATTTCAAGTTTCCGATTGAAGCCTCCTTGCTCAATCTAGAGCATCAAGATAGTTTTATCATTTCTTCATGTGTCTTCAGAAACGTCTTCAGAATTTTGCATTAATCTGAAGACACATTAATAAACAATACACATTAATTAATAATAAAAATGTGTATTTTGGCCTTCAAAAGAGCAGCACTGCAGTATTTAGTACAATATAAATAATGCACATTTCAAAAGAGCGAAAAATTTATACCTTTTTTAAGGGGAGTCATACACCACTTCACTCTTATTTGTCATTTTTTTGATATAAACAACAGTTTAATGTCAATCTACATTTTCAACATAAAATTGACAACTTTGAGCCCTAAAAAATGTGAAAAAATTGCAAAATAGGCCTTTGCATCTAAAAATAGCTCATTTTTGCTATTTTAGCCTTTTGGCACTGTGCGCAAGGTTCAGATCAGAGTTTTTGGCCTGGGAGATCCTGATAAGTCTCAAAATCTTCAGAAAAGTATCCTTTATGGGCTGAGTTTTGTGGAATTTTGATTAGAAATATAAAAAAGTTTGTATGCCAACAGATGTGAAAAAAGCAAGATATAAAAAAAAGTTATGAATGTTTTTGAGCACACATTGAATAATAGGACTGATATGAAGGTCTAAATCAAAATTCCACAAAACTCAGCCTATAAAGGATACTTTTCTGAAGATTTTAATACCTATCAGGATCTCCCAGGACAAAAACTGTGATCTGAACCTTGCGCACAGTGCCAAAAGGCTAAAATAGCAAAAATGAGCTATTTTTAGATGCAAAGGCCTATTCTGCAATTTTTCTCACATTTTTTAGGGCTCAAAGATGTCAATTTTATGTTGAAAATGTAGATTGACATTAAACTGTGGTTTATATAAAAACAATGACATAGAGGAGTGAGTTGGTGTATGACTCCCCTTAAAAGCATCTGCTTTAAATTTTAAAAGCTCAATCAACTAATTATATCTATTGATATATCTCACACAGCTTTCATGGTAGCTTTCAGGAAGCTAAAACTATTGAAGATCAAATGGACTTAGAATGGATTCTTGAAGGATTCCCAAAATATACGATTCAAATTTGAGGGAAACTTTCTACGAAGCATTATGCAAGGTTACCAAAAATTTTTCTAAAAACTTTCTTCAAAGTTTCCTGCAATATTTTTGGTAAATTTCCAGGAGACTTTCTTAAAAGAATTTGAAATGTTCCCACGAGAAGAATTAATTACTTTTTCCCGATAAACTTACAGGAAAGTTCCGAGGAATGCTTCTGAGTATATTTTAAAAGTGACCACAACAAACGTGAAAAAGTATAGGAATTTATTTTTATTAAGATTGCGAGATGAAAATCTCCTTGAATAACTTTATATTCCCCAAATAAACTTTCTGTAATTTAAACTTCCGAGTGTCACCCGCCATATTGGTGATGGGCTATAAAAATACGACACTTCTGCTATTGGTATATTTTCCAGACTTGAGTTGAGTCTGTTTAGTTAATGTGAGTATTAAATTTGTTATTTTTTATCAAAAATTAAAATTATTATAAGATTTAGCTCAATCAAAACCTTCTTGGAAATCCTTGATTGCAGATGTAGTTGACGAATGGTTTAAAATTAGCGAGATTTCTGATCATTTTTTTTATTTCAAACGAGCGTAATCGCCGTTGTGGGGTTAGGTTGATTAATCTAAGTCCGGCTACTCGTAAGCATTATAACAGATTGTTACAAAAATTGGGTGATTACAGATCATGGGTCGAGTTATCCGTGCACAGCGTAAGGGAGCTGGCTCAGTTTTCCGAGCCCACACCAAGAAAAGGAAAGGAGCACCCAAACTTCGTTCCCTGGACTACAGTGAAAGAAATGGCTACATCAAAGGAGTAGTCAAAGTAAGCATTTTTTTCATTGTCAATAGCGATATGCTTTTTGTCGGCTTCATAAGTATTTAGAGATTCATACTAATTTAAATTTTGAATTTCAGGATATCATTCACGATCCTGGTCGTGGAGCTCCTCTGGCCGTTGTGCATTTCAGAGATCCGTACAAATTCAAAACCAGAAAGGAACTGTTCATTGCCCCTGAAGGACTTTACACCGGGCAATTTATATATTGCGGCAAAAAAGGTATTTGAGTAGTAAATCTTGATTGACTTTCAATCATTTGATTATCAGAATATCTATGATTGTCAGAAAATTCATGCATGAAATTTTACAGCAAACCTTACCATTGGCAATGTTATGCCTGTGGGAACTATGCCCGAGGGTACAATCATCTGCAATGTTGAAGAAAAGACTGGCGACAGAGGCCGATTGGCTAGAGCTTCTGGTCTATATGCCACCGTTATTTCTCACAATCCAGACACAAAGAGAACTAGGGTAAAGCTCCCGTCTGGTGCCAAGAAAGTTATTCCATCTGCAAATCGTGGAATGGTTGGAATCGTTGCTGGTGGTGGACGTATTGACAAGCCTATACTGAAAGCTGGTCGTGCATACCACAAATACAAAGTCAAGAGAAACTGCTGGCCAAAGGTAATCACGAAACTTTTATATACTATGTGGATAAAATTATTTACTATACGTTTATTACAATGATGGTTTTAGACATTTGAAAACCGATTTAACATTGGAGGAAACATATATTTACTGATCATTTACAGAATTTAATTTTTATAAAGCAGATGTTTATAACTGTTGTTAAATTGAAAATATATATTACTTTTTCAGGTTCGTGGTGTTGCTATGAACCCTGTTGAGCATCCTCATGGTGGTGGTAACCATCAGCATATTGGTCATGCTTCCACAGTCAAGCGTGGAACAAGTGCTGGTCGCAAGATTGGTTTGATTGCTGCTAGAAGAACTGGTAGAATCAGAGGTGGAAAGACTGAAACTAAAAAAGATGATTAAGTTAATTGTGTGTTAATTGCAATATCAATTGCATCTATTTTTTATGAAATCATTTTTGTACAAGAAGTAGTTCGAATAAATGAAACATTTATCGAAATCTTTTCAAATTCTCTTTATTACTTTTACTTAAAAATATGACCCTAATTTGTATTGTTAAATTGTTTCTGCTAATATTTGTGCAAAGTTAACAATTTCGCGCCATGATCCAGCATTTGTTTGATCCATTCTTCAGCCAAAAATACAACTTTCAATTTATGTTGATTAAAAAATTTCGTTGGTAATTTTTATTTTGATGGATAAACAACTTGAAACGAATTCATATTTTTTGCATTATTAAATTGTTTGTAGCAATCTTATTTAATAAGTGGTTAAAAGAATATTATCGTCATTTTTCATTTTTTCATAAAAAAAGTTGAAAAAAATGATTTTCTAAATAATAAATTTTATTCATCAATTTTATAATATTAATTAGCTGCAATGTGAGCTTATCTTGTAAATGAGAGTATAATATAGACTCAATTTTATGATAATCTTATTGATTATAAAACATTTCTAATTTTTTTACATTTTAAAACTTTTTTCAACTAGCCTTTAATAAATCTCATTTAATTTACATTAAAAAATTCTGGGAGCTCTCAAATATAGTATTTAGTTCTTTTCACGATTCATTGATAAAACAATGACAACTTATTGCATAGAGTATAATAGCAATTGCTGGAATGTATTTTTTTTGCATCATGAGTTTGTTTCCTTGAAAACAAACCTAAATTGACATGTCAGTAATGGTACTGGTACGTCAGTGACGGTGACGTCATTGATAATTTCTTACTTGCTACTTTCCGAACAAGCCACTTTTTTCTCTTTGCTCGTTTCTCGGTTTCGATTATAGGTGTTGTATTTTATCAATTTAATGTTTAAGCGATGTAAAATAGAAAAATCACGTGAAAATTATGTATAACTTAGAGGTGAACTAAAGTGCAATAGTTGGTATTTCATGTTGTTCAAATATTTTTGCCTTTTCTGAATCATTAACATGCTTTCAAGCATGAGCTCAGTTCTGTGCATTATGCTTTGACTTAGTTTGATGCTCGCTTTTATTTTATTTTTGTTCAGTAATTATTGTTGTGTCAATGTAGATGCTTTATTCTGAACCACTTTATGTATTTCTAAATGAAACATTGGCATTTTTGATCATTTAATGTTGAGGTTAAATAATTTTCACGTGGCCATATAAACACTGAGCAAGTCGCTGAACTTTTTGTGAGTGATCAATTATTTTATTGTGTTAATTTTGATTTTAGTTACAAAATGAAGTTGAATAAACTTGTAAGTTCGTCGAGAAGGAAGAGCAGAAAGACACACTTCACTGCTCCTTCACATATTCGCAGGCGACTAATGTCTGCTCCTCTATCTAAAGAGTTGCGAACCAAGTACAACGTTCGTAGTATGCCAATTCGCAAAGACGACGAAGTACAGGTAAAATTAACAAATCTTTTGATTGCCCTCATTTTCACTGAACTTGTGATTCTAAGGTTTTAAAATAATGCTGGTGTTACTATTAACTCCTTTTTTTACTTTTAAAGAGCTGGAGTGAATTAATGCCATAACATAAAAACAACTGTTGATATAACTAAAAATTATATGATTCTTAACAAATTTTCATGCTTATTTGTATTCCAGGTTGTTCGTGGACATTACAAAGGACAGCAAGTTGGAAAGGTTGTTCAAGTGTACAGAAAGAAATTTGTTGTTTATATTGAACGTATTCAGCGTGAAAAGAGCAACGGTAGCTCTGTCCAAGTTGGCATTGACCCATCTAAGGTAAATTTTATTCTAATAAAATAGTGCACTCTAGTATTGAAAATTCAACATAAAATTTTCAAAAAATGATGAATTCAAACCATTCACGGAGGTTTAATTTCATAGTATCACAAGTTCATCTTTAACTAGGTTTTCTGGTTACATGAAGAGCTTATTTTACTAGAATTAAACACTGCAGAATAATTGGCACTGATGTTTGAAACAAATTAATTTTTTCAAAATCTATATTATATTTATGTTTTCATTAATTTAATATGAATTACAGGTTGTTATTGTAAAATTGAAAATGGATAAGGACCGTAAAGATATTGTTGACAGGAGAAGCAAGGGTCGTCTTGCTGCGCTGGGAGACAAAGGAAAGTACAAGGAAACTCCAATGGAATCATAAATGTCTTGACATGTGATAATCTTTATGACACTGAGGGTGATAAAGAACATAAACTATGTTAAGAGAAAAAAACTAGTTTTACTATTTTAATAAAGAAAAAAAATTGAATAAGGTTCATTAATTCAAATCCTGAACTCCTATCTTCAATTTTATTGAATTTTCAATAGTATCAAAAATAAATGATAGTTTAATATTCATTAAGTTTATAAGAATATATTTAATGATTTCAATGGAAACAATTTTGATTCATTCAGGCATAGATATTATTTATAATTAGATCAATTGAATTTTACGAATTCCCGCGAAGATTGAAAGAATAAAATGATATTATTAAAAGTACCAAACACAACTAACGTGTTTGAAATCATTTTTTATTAAAGCTTTCATTATAATTATTATTGGAAAAAAAGAACAATTTTTTTATAATTTTAACGTTGCATAAAATACAATCTACCACCCTTTTTAAAGGTTCATTCATTTCACTTGCTATTTTTACTATAAATTGCATATAATATTGTGCTCTAACTAATATTTCCAGATACACCTGTAAAAACGTTTTAGTATTAAAATTATTCTCTTTACGGCAACGATAATTATTCATATTATTATTACTACTTATACCATGATTGGCAATGATAATTTATAAAATTCTCACCAATTACTTACGTTTCAAAAAGTTGTAACAAGTGAAAAATCTCGAACTATTTTATGTACTTTTCAAATAATGTTGGTATGGAATAAGTGTTAACAATGAACTTCTGGTTTGAATAATTGCATTTGATAATGAAGGAATATATTTTTTAAAATTGTGTTTAAAACATAGAGAACTGAAAGCTTTGAAAAATTGAAGAATAGTCAAATATAATAAAACGGTTTATGTTTAATATCATAAAAATATCTATTTTTACATGGGTTAATGACAGTGCTACGTCGATAATTTAATACAAAGTTTTCAGAAGTTTTTTCATATTTTATAATTGAAAATAATATTAATAAAATTTACTCTCATATGAAATAATAGTATAAAACACAGTAACAATAGTCATAAACATGTACAGTATATTTCAGCTTAATGAAATATGGTTAGAGTAATAAATTAGCAATTACTATGAAAAAAAGCTGATGCGCTGATTAGTCTAAATATTTTACACTGATATATTTTATAATGATGAATCATTAAGAATTCACATCAGTAATAAGAATAAGCTGCTAAAAAGTTTGGAGTTTATAAATATTTATTGACTCAAGTAGTATTACTACTTTATAATCACCTACTTCAAAATTTTATCTTGATATAATACATCATTTGGATTAATTAGTTATCGAACCAATTACTTGTGGGTTTGGTTGATTTTTAATAATAATAGAAAATGTTTAATCAGAAGTGTAATTACATGGTTTATCGGGTCTTTTCGGATATGCCGAAGCCAATGCAAAATAGAAATCGTTGTCTTTTCTTTTATTAAACTTTTATTGAATATATTTTCAAAAAGTTATGTGAATGTGCGAAAAAGTGTCTGAAAATTCACTTTTACTCTAGCTTTGGTATGCCCTCAATACAAACATCATGTGACAATTCTTTCATATATAAAAGGAAAAGTAAACCCGTATTCACCTCAATGCTCACTTAACTAGACAAACGCATTTATACATTATAATAATGGATTTTTAACGTAGTTCAACTTTTGCTGAACCAACTTATGACAAAAATAATAATAGCAATGCAATAAAGACATAGGAAATTGGGAAAAAATATATCCCAGTCCTACTTGTTTGATTTAGAAGATTCACCACTTTTAGCATCGTTGCCGAAAAACCGCGTAGCATTTGGAAATCGTTTTGCATCCGGAAAGTCTGAAGTTTTGAACCTAGTTTGATTAAGACAGTCTTTAATAGCTTGTCCGAAGGCATTTCTCGCCGTAGATGTTGATCCCACTGCCTTAGCTGCTCCTTCGATTTCGCCCACTCGAGTTTGAGTTATACCGTCGCGCACCAAACGTTCCACAGACGCTGCTATTGCATTATTGCTGTTCGGCGGGGTTGGTGGAACAAGTAATTGAGGCTTCTGTTGTTCTATAAGCTTACGGCGTTTTGATGGCAAGCAGTTAAGGTATGCATCACTAAATGGAACATTACCCCCTTGCATTTGATTCATTTGAGAAGCTCTACGTTGACGCACATTGTCTCGAGCTATTACCGATATCCATTCCTTTGAATAAAAATAACATTTTTAAAATTAACTTTTAAAATTCTAAATATTGATACAAGGGCAAAATTAATTTTTGTTATGTGCTGTTATCAAAAGTATTATGTACATACTGTAGGGATATCTTCTGGTGCTGTTAGTACCGGTATATCTTGCCCGTTCGCCAAATCCATGGGGTCATTTGGAATTTTAGTGTCCAATTCCATGGTCAAAGTCTAATTTTTAATTAAAAATTTATTTAAGAAAAAATCATTTTTAACAAACGATTTAATTATAAATGATTAAAATTATATCTACCTCAGGTTTGTTTTCAAACTCTTTCATTTCCTCGTCATCACAATCTTTAGATTCGTCATCCTGGACGACTGGATTATACACAATAAGAGCTTCAACCTCGCTTACAGGCATTTTACTGGTTCGAGTTGAATAATCTTGAATGAGTTTGTGTAACATTGAAACAACTAATGATTGAGACTGATTGTCTAAACGATCACTAAGCAGTCCATTCTGAGATTCAAAAATAAATTTGAGTATTTTATATAAAATGTATAAATTGTCAGTTTAAATATTTTACTTACAACAAATGGATGTGATAAACGCTCTAATGCAGGACCTGCTGAAAGTATGAATTGAAATACTGCAACGAATTGATCCTCTAATTTTTTAATTAAACTAATTATACTTCGGGCAAAAGATGTATCGTCCAAATCTGAAAAGAAAAGAATTAAAAATTGCCAATAAACGTCTACCATTATGATGCTTCACATTTTTTTTCAAATGAAATTATATTTTCACTTACCATTATTAAAAAGTGTTGTTAAAAATTCACGATAAAATTTATGTAATAAGGCTTCTATGGTAGCAGGAATGTCAACCATTTGAGAGGTATTTGGTTGAGATATGTTTAGAACTTGTAAATAAGTGCGAGTTTGAGTGATAATATGATCGACGACGTGATCTTGCAAATCAACCGTTGATAAACCGGGGAAGGAATTTTCAATGAACGTTCTAAGACCACGGCGTAAATTGATCAAAGATTCATAATTTCCTACCCTTATTTGTAATAGCCCAAGAACTGTCATATTACGAAACTGTAAATAATATAAAAATTAATATTAAATTTCTCCATTTAATTTATTGTTCTTTCTTACCAAGAAAACCCATAAATTGTAGAAAAAGTTGCGTCTTGCATATTCATCAACTGGCAGCCCACCAAGTAAATCGATTAATGATACGTTAGAATATTGATTTTGTCCAATTTGAATATCACCAGATGATCTGTAACAAGGAAATATTAATTAGAACAAACCATTAATCAAGTAAATTTATACATCTACAAATAATCGAATTTTACCCAATGGACATATGAGCTTGGTTTCTGTTAAGATTGAATAATTCACACAACGCTTCGGTTAACTCTGAAACTGAAAAATAAAATAGTTTTCAATTGAAATTCTATTAGAAAAAAAAAAAAAAAAAAAAAAAAAAAAAAAAAAAAAAAAAAAAAAAAAAAAAAAAAAAATAGCTTCTCTTACCATTATCAGGAACAGGCGGGTTAATATTAAAAATATTTTGAACTACGTCGCGAAATATATTGCGCTGCATAGTGCTGAAATCAAGTGTAGTTCTAGTAGCAGGTCTTCTTTGAGATTGCTGTGAAGTTGGCACTTCACTGGCTGAAAAATTTAGTATGAATTTATTATGTATGTTTGCTGCAAGTTACTATTCTATAAGCAATGATAATTTATCGATATTACCAGAATGAGCGAAAGCACGGCTTTCAAATCTCCTCGTGGGAGGCGCTTGAGACGTTGTGGGTTGAGCCGTTTGAGAAGTTGAATTAGAGTTAGAATTAGAATTATTTGAATTAGGCCTACGAACGTGGTGTGAATTGCAGCTCAACATAGGATCAAATTCAAGACTTGGGTCCATTGCGAGATGGCCGAATGGATGGGTGTGCGAGTGTAGAACGTGCGGTCGAGCTGTACTGCGTGTTTGAGTAGAAGTTGTCGGATGAGTTCCAATATTACTTCTGTAAAAAAATATAATTACTCATAATCAGCCAAATTAAATAAAAATATATTTAGATAATGTACCTGGCTTGTGTACTTTGTCCAGGATTGGAAGTTGCATTATCAACGTTTGCTCCAACGATGGTAACAAATGGTATAGAACCACTTAAGCCTGCTATGTTGATACTACCACCTCCTCCACTGTTACTTCCAGTTGCTTCTAATTGAACGTTTCCTTCGCCAAGTACACTCTGAATTGCTTCACGTAACATAGCAAAAGGTGGTGTCATGGAATAGATGCTTCCTAATAAAAAGAAATTTGAGTTTAGGAAATTTTTCAAGTTAGATTCTACAAAGCAAATCATAATATACAAGCAAAAATATTTTATAAACAGAACAATATACCATTGGTATTATTATTTTGTCCCTGCTCAGTTTCAGCACCATCTGCTGAATGGGATGAGTTCATATCCATGGAATTTGAACCAAGTTCCATGGATACTTCTACATTGCCAGGCAAGTGAAGTAAAGTACCTTTCATTTTAATAATTTACCATTAGATAATTTCAAATCTCGCAATAATTAACAATGTTTAACAAAGTTGAATTTGTAATTTAAATTCATTCACATTAAGTTAACATGATTAAATTCAAAAATTTAAATGCATATAAGTACCTAAAAGAGACTGAGCGGCATTTTGAGAAATACTATGAGATGTACTCTGTGTAGCATTTTGATTCGATGTACGATTATTCGTACTGCTGGCTCTACTTTCTTCTGGAGAAGGTGATGATGGACGAGTAGCTTCATTTCCTTCATCAGTGTTATTAGTATTGCTACTAGTTGCATTGCTTCGACTACTTCCAAAGTTTAGTTGTGACTAAAATTATTGTAAATCATTGAAAATAATTAATATTTATATTGAAAATGAAAGTATAGTTGTTATTTCTGATATTTACGTTAACTTCAACATGTATCGGTAATCCAGCCTGAACAATAGTTGAGTGGGATACAATTATTGGCCAACACTGTAAGTTTCTGGGAGGTTGTTGTCCTAAATCGACTATAATATCACTCAGTGCATGACAAGCATGTGATACATAATGTAAACTTTCGCTTACTCCATCAATCACCCTTTGGTTATCTTCAACTCCATCAGTTCCACTCTAAACAAAATAATTGATCATTAGATTTTATGGTTAAAACTTAGTTCTTATTTCTAACAATATAATTACATCTCGTGTTAAAACTGGATCCGTTGACATGAGAGTGCGATATCGTTCAATATATGGTCTTAGTCGATCTTGAGTAGTAAGTAAGGTATCTAAAAGATCAGCCATTTCATTTGGACGTGGAACTCTGAAAAATGAATTTTAAATTCAAATTTTCTCAAAAATCCATACAATATAAAAATTAAATGATTGACTTTAATATTTTTTAAATGTTAAGACTTACGAAGGCGCAGTTCTACGACTAGTTGAAGGTCTATTATTGCTAGTAGAAGCTTGTGGCCTATTTGTATCAGAAATTGGTGTTTCTGAACTTGATTCAGGATGATTATCACAAGGTGTATCTTGTCTGGGTCTTTTCTTTGTTTCAGTTTTAGGAGTTGGCAATTCAAAATTTTGCTCTGTTTGACTGGTTTCCATTGGACTTGATTGATTGTTCTCATGATCTCGAACTTAATTTGAATTTGTAAATTTATTATAAATATAAACTTATTTTTTTAAAAACAAAGTTGGGAAAATTAATAATATACCATTTGTAGTAGACTCAGTTGGTTCAGGAACAGAAGAATTTTCCAAATTTTCAGGGGGCCTAAACAAAAATGGGCAATTATAATTTGTATTTTTGAAGATTCAAATTCAAAATGAAGACAAACATACACATTCACGTTTGAATCTTGAGAGTTACTACTGGCATTATTTTCTATTGGACTTCCATTTAAAGATAAAGAGGGATCATCCAAACGATTAATCAACTGATTAGCTTTAGTCAACATGCGTTTAGCAGATTCAAGCCGACTACTTGATAATGTACTACTTAGTTGAGGAAATCTTATCCCTATTCATTGAAATTAATAAAATTTAATAAGAATGACATTAATTTCATGATTTTCATTTTATTAAAATACTAGGAACGTACCATGATTGCCATGATTTTCAACGATTTCAGCAGGTACAGACATTGCTCCAAGAAACATTGTATTACTTGGGATACGTCCTCGGTAATGAACTTGGACATTTGGTGAATCATTGTTTTGTCTTTGATTATCAGTATTACTTGACCTAGATGCATCTGGTGGCGGGCGTTGAACCAAATGCATAACTTTTCCATTAACATCTAAACCAATTTTTTCAAAATTTAATATTACAACAGAATACATCTTTTAAAAATTTAACGAATCTAAAATCCAGTTCATAACATTAAAAAATAAAACTTGATTAAAATATCTCACCATAATCATTGAGTTTTTTATCATCTTGTAAAACTCTGCCACAATAAATAAGTCTCTGTGAATCAGCTGTCACATTAACAGTGTCAGCTATTTTTTCTTTGAAAGCTTGTACTGTGATCTAAAGTAATAAGAAAAATGTTTCATTGATATTTATGTACACTACACTACATAACATTAAATACAATTTTTACCATAATATCAAAGCACTATATAATATTAATCCTGGTAGGTTATTTAAGTTATTATTAAGTGAGTAAAATTCTAGAAAAACTTACGTCGTCCTCACAAGTAAATTCATGATCTCGCCCGTCCAAGGTCTTGACGGTTAATTTGAGCATTTTTACGAGTTAGCAAATAGCAATAATCCACTCTTGAACGCCGTTCTTTTGAGTTGAATAAAGAAACCCTTGATACTTGGAACACAGATTTTGAGTACGTTATGAATTTGCAACGTACACAGTGTCAGAGCTGACCGTTGATAAGAAAAAACAGTTGCTTTGTATACCTTAGAATTTGATTCTTTCCAGAACAATGAGGACGTTCGACAACTTATTGCGACTGTGAGGATTGGATGACTGCGTGACGTACCAAGGGACTATGTGCTAAAAAAAAGAATATTCGAGCTTACATATTAATGCGAATTAACTTTTACTAGTAATTTGAGAATTTAATTTCTCGTCGAAATTTACAGGAAGGATATATCACTGAATAAACAATTAGCACTCACGGCTAGACAGTTCGCAAGTCCGCACGTCCGGATGGAATAAGTTGGCAAATTTGCGAGGTTAAGTTTGCTGATCAGAACAGAGCGTTATATATACATACACATACAAGTGTATAGCTAACACAGGCGCAAAGCTCGCACACCGATGTGATGTTGTTTTGCGTGAATGTGCGTTGAACTTGTGTAGTCACTGGCTTACTATAGGGCGCGCGGTGGCGGTACGGTTCAGTTGGCATGTGTGCGTTCGTCTCGCTCGTCGTCGGTCGTGTCACTTTCATTCAGCGCGCGTAATGTTATCGCAGCTCCGTGGAAATGCGTCAGAACTCAGAAATTGAACATTAATCCGCGCGCAGAAACTGCCGCTCGATAGGTCACGACGACTCTCAAGGCATCATAATATATAGGTGCTACAACAATATTGTTTTGTTCGCTGCTGGCGCGCAATCGATGCGGCGTGATTTTTCACCGATTGTAATACTAAACGCAGTTTGACCGCAGATCAACTCTTCGATTCCGAAAACCCATTAAATATAGCGATGATTAAATTGACAAATGGTCTACGTTCCTAAATGGTCTATGTCATTTTACACATAGCAATGGACCCATCGACTTGAATCTTCATGCTTTGTTGAAAATTACTCGAAGGTAAGATCATTCAGATTAACAATCGGTTACATTTGCGTTGTCATTTGCGACTCAGAGGGAAGCTACTTTTCCTACTGTTGACACTGTAGAATATTTAATTCAACGCCTTACGAGTCGGTAATTCATAAACGATATGTTCATCGATAATTTGTTGGTGAATAAACTTTTGACTTTTGCGAAAATATAACAAAGATATGATCTCACTGAAAGTAGTCTTGCTATTTAGGGAAAAATCAGGTATAATATTCTGCTTGATTTCGACGTAAAAAATTGAAAAAACTCCGTTTCCTTCAAAACAATTTGCCTTCCATACACGCACCTTAAACTGGATTATTATTTAGTTTTGAAAAATTCTTTCTGCCTCATATTAGCTGTCCTAAATTAGCCTACATTAAAAACCTAAAAGGAAGATACCTTTTACAGTGCTAAGTACAAAGGCTCATGCAGTACCTGATTTTATCACCAAGGCCAACATCATTTGCGGACACAATAATCCTTCGATCGAAGCTGCTGCGTTATAATGAGTGGCAGTATCAGTGATAACCGATTATTTTATTTTCAAGGCAAAACTTTGAAAAAAAAATAATATACTTGAAACACGATTGGGCCGAGACAAGGAGGTATTTCATAAATAAATAAATAAATAAATAAAAACCTGGCACTGCATTTTTAGCTTTGTGCGTAGCTTTGTAAACATGAGAATAGTCACGAGCTATTTGACAAATGGGCTACGTAGCGCCGTATACAAATTGGAATTTGTGAAATTTGCATGGTGAGCAGATAAATTTAATGTAATAGTAAAAACAATTTGAATTTTTAATAAATACGGTGACTTGCAAAAAAGGCCTAATTATCAGAAGTAGAAAATTTCATTGGAGTGAAATTATGTAACACCGAGTATGAATTTCGCTACCCACACCCGGAGCAAAAGTTTAAATGGATCACGGGCTATTGTCTCTTTTACATTTATTTACGCTGCGATCGGCGCCAAACAGTATCGGTAGCCATTAGATACAGCCGCGTAGTTTTATTAATAACTTGTGGAATAGGATTTGTTGTATTTATATTTATAAATTGGTGTATACACAAAATTACATTGGGCATTTTTCGAATATCTGGCTCAGTAGTGGCCGCCGAACGACCACACTGCAGAGCTTGTCTCGGGGGGCTCCGGTAAAAACGTCACCAACAATACGGCTCGAAAATATTTTCGAGCGTAAATCATTGCTCTTCGATAAAATATCCGGTGGCGGAGAGGAAAGAGCGAGAGAAAAAAAGCGAACGCGACTCATGGCTGCAGGCGACGACGGATCGGCAGCCGCACGACACGCGTCGTAGGCGTGAGGTGTGAACGTGCCCGGCGCGTCGGCAACTCGCTTTTTTATGCATACGGCACGACGGCCGTGCGGATCGTGGGTCGAGCGAGCGAGTTACAACGCCAGAACGAGGTGCGCAGAGAGCGTCGACGTGTCCTTTTTCACGCACGACTCGTCGAGGCGAAAAATCGGCTGATTCGCGGATTATAATCCGCACTGGTATAGGTACTCGGCGCGCGATGTAGCGGCTGCGTAGGCAGAAAAGCGAATCGGCGACAGTCGCACGCGCGCGCGGAGAAATTGCGACTCGCTTCGCATAGGAAATGGAAAGCTAAAAGGCTCGTACATGGCGCGCGCACTTTCCATCGCAACGATACTACCTATATAGTACGTGGCTGCACATGTCATGCACTTATCGGCGAGCTGCCGCCACCGTCGTCTTGTCGTCGCGCGTGCTGTTTTTCTTTTCTTCGTCTCTGCGTTTCTCCATCTGTTTGTCCTCTGCAGCACGAACACAGCGAGCTTTTGGCCTCCTTTTTGCATCGTCGCGTACGCAGTACACACACGGCTCGTTGGCGCCAGGCTACATTCTCGTGCATTCGTTATACGGCCTATGCTACTTGTGTACGCATTGCGCCAACGTCGTCGTGCCGAGCCGTACCGAGACATGCGACTACGTTAGGTCCACTCTGATGCAAGGGTGACACAGACGCTCGATTTTTCCCAATTTACCTGTGCGGCGCGTTCGCCGCGAGCTCTCTTTTCAATTGTGCGAGGCGATTATTTTTTTGCGGAAGGGCATCGTGTTCTACCTTCCCGTCCAGCGAATAACTGCGTAGAACCGCCTGCAACAATGACAATCGATAACTTATGATTTTTTCCTCGAGCTTTCACGACGCGACACGTTGACGCGTGCTTTGTATAAACTTGCCGCAAGCAAAACAACAAAAGCTCGCCTAGCAAGCGCCAATAATACGACGCTATCGCGCCTGCAATTTATTGACAACGATTCAACGAGAAAGAACAACGAGTTCGCGGGTAAAGAGTACAGAGAAAAAAGAGAGTGAAAAAAAATCGAGCCAAGTATCGAACTCCGTGGCGCGTAAACAGCGTCGCCACAAAGTCCGGTTAGCGGATAAATAAGCGGGCGCGCGCAGATCTATGATAAGCTGTGCAACGTCGTAAGTCTCCTATATTATGTTCTTTTGACTCGCTGTTATATTAGGGGTGAGCGAGTACCCGATTTTTCCAGTTTCGCTCGTACGAGCCGGAAAAATTCAAGCACCTCCATGTTTTTTTGAGTACTCGAGCTTTTTTCAAGTATTATTGAGCTTTTCCAATTACGCTATAGTATAATTTATAAGTTTTTTTTTAAATACTCATGTGTGTGATAAGTGCATTGATATTTGGGGTAATTATTTGGATGGGCGAAAAAATGACCTTTTTAATTATGTTTATTAAAATCAATTGTTTCATGGAGCTTTCCAAAAACGACAAAAATTATGCAAACACCTTAATTATGACAAATTTAATAAATTAGTCAAAAAAATGCTTCGAAACGAATGAATTATTGAAGTTTAATCATCGAGTGAGATCTTAATATTATTGATGCAAAAATCATGTAAATTACACGCGTAATAAAAAATCTACTTGGTGACTGAGATCTGATCTATCAATTGAAAATATGCTTGAGATGAAAAAATAGTCTGCAAGCCGAATGAATTAGTAGTTTAATCATCAAGTGTGATTTTAATTTTATTAATGCAAAAAGCATGCAAATTAAAATAGCAATAAATAGTTGATTCGATATCCGAGATCCGATTAAGCTTCAATTTCGAAAGACGAAATTTTTCATTTAAAATAAAACAAACATTCTTGAAAACGTGAAAAAATAACTTGGAATTTTTTGGTGGATTAATTTCCTTATACCCCACATCAAACATTTTCATGGATAATTATAGGGTATATGAAAAAAAACCAAAATCAGATGTCATCGTAACTTTTTCTACACCAATGAAAAAAAAAAAAAAAACACTGACTACTACGTAGCCCTCAGTTTTTATTTATATAGTTGCAGTATAAATAACGAATTTGCATTTTATTCTTTGCATAACGCCGATAAGATTAAATCATACTAATTTTGTAAAAATGACTCTGCGAGGCAGTGAACTTTCCCGCCACGTTTATCGGTACCTACTACGTGAATTTCTCTCTATTCGATTAGATAACGGGGAAAAATGAGCGAGCCATTGGCGTGGGGTAGCAATTGGGATCTTGGCGCGACTTTTTCCCGCTTGCAGCCGCGATCGAGGACGAAAAAAAAAATCGGGACGGTGCTCAACGAGCCCGTCGATCGCCCTTCGACTCTTGTGGGACAAATAGGGAGAAAAAGCACGACACATCGATGAAGCAAGTCGAACGCACGAGAAAAAAAAGGCAATAGCACACGAGAGTTGAGTGTAAAAAAAAACAAAAACAAAAAGTGGGGGGACACTATCAAGTGAGGCGCCGTAACGTTATTAAGCATTGACTTGGTCGTCGACTATAAGTAAGTCCCATGTGCCGGACCGACGCTCAATGTTGTTGTGGCATTGGAGGCGCCAAGAGAGTGTAAAGCTATATACCTATATATCGTTGTAAATATATACATATATCGGAGCATAAGACATACTATACGAGCGAAAAGGCGACGACTACGAGAAAATACGCGAGCTCGGGCACACACACGCACACACACATATTTAAACTCGAGATACGAGCGGGCATATTACACACTTATGCGCACGAGTGGACGATTCTTCTCTTGCAGCTCTCCCCGCTTTTGCGCGTCTGTGCGCGTAGTTATATACACCGCGAGGAGCGCGCCTATACGAAGCAGGCGCGCGAATTCTACATCCCCGCTTTGCGCTATATAACTCGCGTGTACAACTTATAAAATTGTACATCACACTCACATGCTGCGCGTAGAAGAGGAGGAGGCCAGCCGCTGCGGAATACTACGAGCCGTGGACCGATATTTTGCCGTGAGACCGAGCACGACCTGCACCGCCGACGCTACCTCGTCGTCGTCTCTTCCCATTCTGGGACACCATCCTCGTTCATAGCTTTCGTTTATTATAGCAGTGCTTCGGAAGCTCGGGCTAGCCAGAAAATAACTGAAGCGACAATTGCACGCCTCAGTCGCGTGCGACTCGCCGAGGATCGATCGAGTGCCAATAACGATTCAACGACATTTTTTTTTATTATATACCAAATACGAGACATCGAGAGTAGATACTTGCCTCTCTACTGGACTTTCGGCTAAAGCTCGGTCATGTGATTGATGGGGTTTCGTCGACTCAAGAGGATTTTGTGCTCTCAGCTGTTGTCGCTGTTGTTTTGTTTTGTTGTTCTGCAAAATATAAGTGTCAGTGAGAGCATAGCAACGAGCAGTGTTAACAGTTACGATTCCACCTCGTTGGACACCTCGAGGCAGAGATACGACCGAGACGTTTACCGAGGTCAGTCAATTTTTGTCGCTCCTCTTCCTCTCCTCTCGATTATACATTATAATAATTATATTTCCTCGCTCTTCGGCGTCGCGCTCTTCTTCTCCATATATCGTTGCGCACATTTTGTGTAATGTGCTTTTCCACTCGTCGACGAGAGCAGCTCCGAGGGAAAAAATTCGCTATACGCTTTTTTTACGTCTGCGAGAGAGCATAATCGGCTCGCCGTAGCCGCAAGAGATTCCGATAATGCGCGCAATTCACAAAAAATAAACAAATACTGCGGAGCTTGCTCGCGCGCAGCATACATGCGAGATCTGTACAGCAGTGAAACCTTATCAATCATAAATGAGTCGCATAAAAATATGACGTGTGCGCTGCTGCTGCTGCTGGAGTTGTGATTACACTAATGCTCAAAGCTCGCAGAGCAGCGCAATCCCAAAAGACTCGCGCTTCTTCCATGGTGTCGATCGCACGAGTCGTCCTCGTCGTCGTATAATTCACACGTTTTTCGTGCGCTGCTCTGATTTCAGTTGTTAAAAAAGAGGATAACAAAGGCGGAGCCATCATGTCCGGGCTGCTGTACACGCTGCTGAGCTTCGCGGCGAGCACGAGCTTGCACTGCGCCGTGCGCCGCGAGATCAGCCCCTGCACCTGTCGCCAGGAGGACTTTTCCGCGCCGATCTCCAATCCGCCGCTCGGCTCGCCTCTCCACGGCGAGCGCATCGAGGTCGAGTGCGAGAAGATGGAGTCGTTCAATCAGGTGGCCGAGGCGCTCAGGGGTCGATTCACCCCGGAGCAATCCATCACGCTCAGGGTCTCGCACTCCTACCTCAAGGACATATCCAGGCACGGATTCAAGGACTTGAAGATGTCCATAACCAGGCTCGAGCTCAATTACGATAAATTGGGGTAAGTTCCTCGCAAACAAATGACAATTGCAAAATCTCATAAAACCTAGGCCTCTTCTATGCCTGTACTTCATAATAGATAGCCGAGCTTTATGTTCCGTATACGATGTATTGCAAAAATTCCAACGATAACGATTAATCACTAAGTCGAAGGCATTGTTTATTGTTTGCTCGAGTCTTGCGAGTCGCCGTGTAGGCGCCATCGAGATCTCCTATATAATATAATGTATATACACACGCTACAATCCATTGTAGAAATTTGCAACTCGCAGCTCGAGGGGTTGATTGTGCTTTATTGGCAGATATTTCATTACAGTATAATGCACATATTGTTGTAACGGTCTCGTGACCGAGACCATACATCATTATAATAGTCGTCGCCGTCAATGCGAAGAGCAGGTCAAAGTTAAAATCCAGGCGCTTTATCGAGCGAGAGAGAAACCGATAAGCCGATTTACATATTTTCAACTTACTTCTCTCGCGTATTACGAGCGTACAAAGATTGTCTTTTTTTTTGTTTGTACGCACTTGCAAATTTCAACCGAAGATAACGATTATGAATGAAGTTTTGACATGAGATGTGCACCGAAAGAGATTCTAGAGTAAAAATTGAAATGTTTGCTGGTTCAAGTGGCGCAAAATCAAACGTTGGTCCAAACGGGGATTTCTTGTTTTTTTCCAATTAGGAACATGTTAATTTTTACCATAGGATTTCTCTCAATGAACATTTTTCTGCAAATGCTCGATACGTGGCTTTATGGTCATTTTCCGGGTATACGCGAAAGCTTTATCTCGACTTGGAAATGTTGTTCTACATTTCGAGGAGACGCTTAAAAAGCGAAAAAAATAAGAATTATCTCGCCTCAGGCGTGAACAATTTGCAATGTGGGAAAATTCGACGATTGATATGGCAGCTGCACGCTCGCGGTAAGGCTGTTTCCATCGATCAATGGTAAACAGACGCAGTTTTTCGATTTTTCCATCGCGTCGCGTTGCGCAGCGAAGCGCGAGGAGAGCGAAAATGTTCAAGTTCGTAACACCGACGATCGCTCGTCGACTCGGTTGTTGGCGCGATGATATAAACGATCGGTGCTGACGATAGCTCGGAGGGACGGGACTGCAGCAGCCGAGCCACGCTCGCGAAGCGTATATGGCCTCGAGCAATGACGAGCAGGGAAAACAGCTTGTTTATTTCTCTCGCGAATCCGAATAATATACACATACACACATGCACGATACAGACACGGAGTGTAAAATCGAGTTTTTCAGAACGCGTCTTTTTTTCTGGCTTTCGAGCATCTGGTCGAGCGATAAAAGCCGCTTTTCGATTATCTTGTGCATCGTCTCTCGCTGGCTTGATTTATTTGCAGCAAATTGCGAATAACAAACGTGCGCAATAACGAATGAATTCGAGCTCATAATCGAGGAAAATACTCAATTTTTTTCTTGTTCAGCGTCTTGAACGGAGAAATCTTCGCCGGACTGGGACGAACGCAGTACCTGAGCTTGGCCGACAATGAGGTGCCGTCGATACCCAGACCGATACTGTCGCATCTGTCGCTGCTACGGACCCTCGATCTCAGCCGAAATCGAATCAGCCGCATCGAAGCGGACGATTTCAAGGTAATTTTCTTTTAAATTCAGTATGTAAAATTCGACTGCTTTGTTTTTTATGGGTCCATCGACTCGAATCCAATGTAAACGTGCGTTTCGCTCCTTTTCAAGTATAATCCGACGCTGCAATATCTGTTCATGGCGGGAAATTCAATTGCGGAAATGGTGCCCGGTTCGCTTCCTCCGCTCATCAAACATCTTCATGTGGGAAGGAATCATCTCGTTAGCCTCAATCGTACTCTTAGGTAAGTTGGCATAATCGCTCGAAACATGGCTGCGCACTGCTGTACGCTTCCAGCGTATACCGCCACACAGTTGAAGCAATTTTTCTTTACGACTTCGTTCCGCCATCTTAATGGAGAAAAACGTGTAAATCGATATCGCGAATCGGAAAAAGCCGAGTTGAATAATTTTTTTTTTTTTACTCTTCTGTATAAGAGTATGCATTTACATAATTAATGAGATGGCGCCGCCAATGTGTGCAGCCTCGGGCAACGATTTTTTGATGGTTTTTTTTTCATCTTGCTATGCAGAGATCTCAATCAACTGGAGTGGCTATTAATTAACGCGAACGAATTGACATCTCTTGACGGCGAGCTGCCGGCATCTGGACACAATCTGAAAATGCTCTACGTCGTCGACAATAAGCTGACTCATTTGCCGGCGGAATTTCGATTTTTGCATCGACTAGAGTCGCTCTTTCTACAGCATAACAAGATAACGAGCTTGGACGGTACCCTGCAGAAAGCCCGAAGACTCAAGTTTCTCGAATTGTCCTACAATAATTTACAAGTGGTGAGTGTTGGCGATTGAACAATTATCAGAAAGCAGACAAATCGATGTTGATGATTAAAAAAGTGCGATGCTCGCGCGTTCGCAGTACATAACGAGAACGTAATTGCCAAAATGAGAATTTCCGTCATTATTAGCAACTTCATTGGATCAAGTTGGAACTTCCTTCGTTACGGTCGCCGACGCTCGAAGCTGAGCGTATATATTTACGTTTTCAACGTGTGTAAATATATACATATAAAAATATATATAAATGTGCGTTTGAAGCGAATCGAGACACGCATCGGCAATTACGTGTATCGCGCGCAAACGGCACGGGGCACCGCAAGCTCTCTCGACGACGACTACATTAATAATCGTCGAGAATTGAATTAATCAAAGGGAGAGAGATAGAGAGGAGATCTCCGAAGAGGCACGTTGCGCGCCGCTTGCTCACGCGTGCCAGAAATGCGCTTTATTGAACGCTTTCTTTGCGCGTGACACGATCACGATTTGAGGCTCGGGCGCGTACACGCGTGTCGCGATATTTCTAGAGCGTGATTAAATTATCATCGTTTATAGATCGATGTAAAAATAAAAGGCCCGATCATTGCATTTCTTCCCGCGGCTCTTCGCGTGCTGTGTTTTTTTTTTTTTTTTTAATTATAGTGCCGATGAGCAAACACCGAAAAATGCTCTCATGACGAAAATCGCACGCGTCTTCGTCGTCGGCGTGGATCGTGGAGCGTGGCTCGCGCCTATCACGCCACGCCGCGAGTTCAAGGTAAAAAGGCGTGTGCCGTATATAACAACATCGATCCGTCTGTCGGCTTGCAGCTGCACGAGGACGACTTCATCGAGGCCGAGATGCTCGAGGACCTGCAGCTCGGCCACAACGCCCTGACTTCGCTGGGGGGCGTGACCAGCGTCACCCCCGAGGAGACGACGACGAGCAACAGCGCCCTTTACCCCCTCAAGTCGCTCAAGTGCCTCAATCTGACTCACAACAATCTGCGCGAGTTCTCGTTCACGTCGATACGCGGCCTGAGGGAGCTCAAGATGCTCGACCTGTCCAACAACAAGATCCAGCGACTGACGCGCGGTCGCGCGCCCACCGAGGTGAGTTTCATCCACAGCCACCCACATAACAGACACAAACACATTCGTCGCGCACCCGACTCGATATAAAGTCCTAAATAGACAACGCAACGATCGGCAGCGTGGGCGGCCGTGTCGGTCCGCGTATAAATAACAGGCATATCATACGCGGGTACGTTTCGCGCGGGAATAATCTTTGCGTTGTTTTGAACACTTGCCAAGCGTCTCGGTTCTTCGTCAAAGCTGCCCGCGTGCCTGCCAAAGCAATGCGCGCGTTTGCACGCGCCGATGACCCATCTCCCCCCACGATATATCCGCACGAATTGCCATTAAAGGAGAATTTTCGGAAAACACCGACGCCGTGACTCACGCGCTATCAAACTCCACCATGATTAAAATACCTTGGCTACAAAAAGCAAGCGAAAATGTTGGGAAAATTTCATTTTTCAAGCGAACGATCCTTTCGCCCCTGGTGGTATTGCAGAATCTCGTGGAGGTCGACGGCGACGAGATGGCCGGGGCCGGCATCCAGGACATGCATCTGCAACACAACGAGCTGCGCAGCCTCGAGGGCTCGCTCTTCCTCGGCATGAGGCAGCTGCAGAGGCTCAATCTCAGCCACAACGCCCTGGGCCCGACCGTCGGCCTGAGAGATCTCAAGGGCCTCGACGGCTTGCGCAAGCTCGATCTGTCCTACAACGAGCTCACCACTCTCGAGGACACTTCCGAGGTAACGATGCATCCGTGTCTACGTACACTCATTTTCTTGTCGTAATCGTGCGTCTAACGAGGAAAAAATAAAAATGTCTCAGTCGTGGCTGCAATCGCTCGAGGAGCTCAACGTGGCGCACAATCGTTTGATCACACTGTCCGAGCGTGATTTCCGCGGCTTTCCCGGACTCTGCTGGGTAGACGTCAGTGCCAATCAAATAAGCGTCCTTAAACCTGAACTTGTGGCCAACACTCGCTGCACGGTCCACGGAGTGCCCGACGTTCTGCGCATCTATCTACAAGGTAAATATAATCTCTTCTATCGTATACGACGTCCATGTGTATTTGTGACGCGCGAAACAGGCCTGTGCGCAAAAGAAAAACAATCGTGACGTATGATGATAACATCTCGAATCTGTAGCTCTTAAGGAATTAAAGATAACTTTTTACGAAATACGATCGCGCAGAGATCTTAGTAATTTAAAGCCATTTAATATTTATTAATGCCAAAATTTGACTATCTATTTTGACTTTTTTGCTTTCAAGCAGAAAAAAAAATAACGAGAAACTCCGGAAATTGATAGATGGTTACGAATTATACGGTCCATGGTAAAAAAAAAACAAAATATTTTATCTTTTCCTTGCCACTATCAAATAGCCTAACGTTCGAAGACGGTTTATGTAAACGTCAATTAATTTGCTTTCTCATATATGGTCAAAGCCCCCAAAAAACTGAGTTTGAAAAAATAAAGCGTCAGCGATATTTCCAGTCTTATCATCGAGCCATGCACTCTCAAACTTATTTTTTCAATAGTCCTACACGTTCAGTTGAATGAACTATTAAAAAGATGCAGTGGATCACACATGGCTCGAGGCGCATATTATATAGGCGCGCGAGTCCGGCGACAAGTCGTCTCCGTACGGGCACTTGAGAGCAGTCGAAATTAATTATAACGACTCTCGGCCCTGCCGCCGAGCCGTGCTTATAACGTCATGTGTGTGTGTGTGTGCGCGCGTGTGTATATGTCCAGTGCAAATCTTTCACTCGGGGCTATATTATGTATAATTCCGCGACAAGCAGCGTGTCACGTGCTGATCTGCAAACGCGTCGAGCTGGACAAAAAATATTAAAACAGAGAACTGATTGCAATACGTGGCGCCGGCCAGCAGCGGCCTATACTCTTTCTCTCCTTTTTCTTAGTTTTCTTCAATTTGCCTTTCGTTCCATTTTTTTATCTTTTTTTTTTTTTTAATTTACGCGATACAAGTATATTTATTGGTCATTTAATCCTCATGACTCACGTACGCCTTAATCATGATTTATTTCTTTCGCTCGCTAGTCTTTTCGTTTTTCCTTATTTTTTTGCCGAATTTTTTTATCGAGTGCTGCTAGCGAAAAAAAAGACGAGAAGTTGCGAGTGTGTTTTTATTTCATCTTCATCATAATAGAATCCGTTGCAGCAGCAGCAGCAGCAGCAGCATCAGCTGCTCTCGCGAATTCCATAGCAAGCCACGGGCCGATCACGCCGCATGAAATCAATCGGTCGCAATCGAAATTGCTCATCGTCGCGCCGACGTCGATTCGTCCGGCCGGAAAAGTGTCACGCAATCGCGCGCTCGCGCCAATGCAAAATCAATCATCAATTTTACTGCTGCTGCTGCTGCTGCACTGCGACGCGACACGGCCTCTGCCTACAGAAAATAAATACGGATAATTTCCGTGATTTACTGCACATGCGTCATAACAAGCGTATCCTCGGTCTCTCTCTTTCTCTCTCTATTTTGATAAGGTGCAGTGCATAGGTCGGCATTCGCACCTTTTGTTGCAATGTCAAATCTCACGGACTGTTTGTTTTCCGAGTCCAGCGAACGAGAGCACAGGCTAAAAACGACCCAAACGCCGATACCAATTCAGCCGGCCTATATGCACGCGCGCTTCATACGATGTATCGTCAGCAGCTACATGTAGACTCGATAAGCGCACACGGCATTACGAGCTGCTGCGACGGCTACATGCACACTTGCACATTGGCTTGCTTACTTGCGCTCGAGCCACGCAGAGACGATAACCCCCGCGTCACGTATAATGTATCCAGAGGCGCCCGTCGATTTGCCGCGCCGACTGGTCTTTTGCATATTGCTCTCTCGTGTCTGCAATTACGGCGCCCGCAAAACTCGAGCGCCGGCCGACGTATACGAGCAACCGGCCAAGACAGCTCTTAACTCGAGTCCTCTGTTTGTTGTTTATTAGTTTCTCGATCATTTGCGCATATTGTACGTACAATATAAGCCGGCCTGTGACGTATCGGACAGCTTTTTTCTTCTCTTCTTTTTTTTTTTTTTGTAATCTCTGCCGTTTTTATTTGCTGTCTCTCTTTCTCTCCTCCTTTCTGTCATCTCGTTCATCAACGCTCGTATTCGTCTGTTGCTTTTGTTCCCATTAAATATTATTGATTCGCTCTCGAATGTGTACGACTTATCGACCCTTTTGGATTACGAAACACATAAAGGCCATTTTCGTGCTTCGCAATTCGTCTTACGATGCTTTTTTTCCTCTCATGAAATTTTGAGAAAAAAATCTTGTCGCTGATGTCTAACGTGACCGATGCGATAATATTTCCTGTCAAAATATAATCAAATCAAATTAATTTCCCATGTACGTATTATTATAATTCTGTCGAAAATGAATTTTTTATTTCATCGTATCAAGCGCTCGTTACTTTTGTAACTCGCTATAACACACTTTGCTTACGAGGATGTGAATCCGGATAAATAAAAATCAGCGCGATTAATCATATTTATTAACAAATCTTCGTAACATGTATTAGCGTTACTGGAAACAACCAGTAATTTATCTAGTTTTAATTTCACAACTATACGAGCAATTCGCGATCATTGAGCATTTATCCAATCTCGTTAATTTTTTAACCATCTCCAGCGGCTCGGAGTCAAAACTCGATCACTTTTTTTTGTCCCCCCACGATGTGCTTTGGCATACGCAAAGTTGATACGCGCATGTACGTATAGTATATCACAGAGGACTTGTGAAATCGCCGATTTGACAAGCGCGTCACAGCGGCGTATCCTATTAGATTTCGCTTTATCCAGCGCGATAATCAATCATCTCAGCTTGTCAAGAAAAAAAAATCGGATCTCGAAACACGTGTTGTATCACTCGCACAAGTGTCATTATTCGTCATTGATGCTTATCGCGTGCACGCACAGTTTACGTTCTACCATCGCTCGTTTTTTTTTCTTTCTCTCTCTCTCAAAAACCCGCGTATATATGTAGTAAAATTTCAAATGAGAGAAGTAAACTTTACTTCCCCGATATGATAACCCTCGCATGACTTCTAAGTTTCTTTCATTTATACAAAGAAGCGCGTTGACACTTTTTTGCCCTCACCCCATTAGATGATCTTGTGCTGCGTCTCAAAATTTTGCTGAGCCAGTGGAAAGATATACTTTGCAATACATTAATTTCACATAGACACGATCTATACTTTCCTTCTATTTTTTTTCTTTATTTTCTGTTTGAATTATAAATTTTCAAAAGGGATATTGTTATAATTATGCAAAATATTCATTGTTCAACTTTTTCGACATTGTCGCCTGAACAATGTAGTGAAACTGAATGCAGTTGTAATGGCTTAAGTGGCCAATAAAAGCTTCTTATTAAAGCTCTATGATTTGATAAAAGCTACGCCTCCTCTGGCTTCGTCTTTTTAAATGAGCACAATACGTTGTTCAAAGAATCATTGTTTCAAATGGCATATTTTAAAATCAAATTGAAGGTAATTCCGCACTGATCGTTTTGCACGTCACGATGCACGAGCGAGATGACTTTTTTAAATGTTCTGCCCTATTTATTACGTAAAATCGGCGCTGAAATTTTATGCACAACAATTTTGCAGATAATCCAGTCTTGTGTGACGCTGGCCTGGCCGATCTCACGGTCGCTCTGGAGGTTTACCACGCGAAGGTCTACGGCGTGGCAAACGATTGCCCGACGCCGTCTACACCCACGGCACCGACCACGACAACGGAAACGACGATTGTGCCGCCTTTGCCGCCGACTCTCTTATTGGCCGCCGCTGCAGCCGCCTCGGGCGGCAACGTCTCTTTCGCCGCGACCCTCGAATGATTCGATCCATAAGCTCTCACGACGCAAAAAGCTCAATGAAGAAAGCAGCATAAATTCGACGAGTGAATGCGATCTTTTGTGAGTGATTTTATCCAAAGAATAGAAGATTGTTGTACTTTCTCATGGTTGTTCAGGCATTGCATATAGGATTATGATAAAATGCAACAACAGCCATACGAAACATCCGCTTCATAATAATACTTATGTATAAAAGTGCAGATTTTGGGTCCATTCGAAACGACACAGGGCATGATTTTTGAATTTTCAATAATAATGACTTGTCAAGAATATGTGTGCACTTTCTATTGTTTCAAACTACTTCAGTAGGGCACAAATTGGTAAAGAAATCATTCGCATTTATATATTTTGTATGAAAAGGAAAAACGAAAATTCAAATGAATAATTATTGATTCTTTGCAGACATTTGATACGCATAGATTATAGTTTAGTATGTATGTTGTCATGGATAACGACAAAATTTTACAGTATTTCCTAATTTGTTTAAAGAACTATTTATGTATATTACTTTGTATATTATTATTTCAAGATATCATTTTCTATCGTTAAAGTACATAAAGTAATTTTAGTAGTTCTCGTAATGTAGTTCGAATGATTAGAAGAATGAAAAGTTGTGTGCTTGAAATTGTCTCACGTGAAGAGCGCATGGATAATATTTTCAACTTTAATCGTTAAATTAAATTATGCGTATTCCCATACCTTAGATTACACAAAATATTGATTCCTCTGCAAAGCTATATAATATATTTTAATAATAATCAAATAGAACATATATATTTTAATACAAAGATGGCCAAAATAGACTGTCTTTTTTCGTGTGATTGACTTCGTGTTTGTCACCATACTTTATAGGCAAAATCTAGTGACAAGACTTTTATGTATAAAAAACATATGTACATAATTTTTATAAATACATATTATTATAATTGTGCTAAGCTTGACATGAAATATCATTTACTTTTATTGCAACTACTTCTAAATCAAGAAATGCATAATTATTTATAAACGACTATTCATTACTTTTATTGTAGCACATAGCATACTTTCATTCATTCAAAATTTATTCATGATGAAATTTATCTTTATTATAATTAATTAAATTATTGTTTGAAGACCAAACTTAATAATTGAAAATAAAGGAATTTATTTTCATACAAGTGATGTTTTGTGAAACATGTTAATTAAAAATGTAGAAATTTACTAATGATATTCATTTTCACCATTTTAAAATTTCTATTGAAAATGAAAGAAAAAAAATGTTACTATACTTGACAAGGTGTATATGCCACATAAATTGATCCCATTATACATGCATCAATATATGTTGAAAAAAAAAGATTGCACAAATGGTCAATTTAATACTTCAAGTAATGATTGAACTCTACAATCAATAAGTCTTCATTGGTTGATCAGTAGAATTTGACCATTATTAACCAATAATTCAACAATACTCAGTCTTAGGTCAATCAATAATTGTGACAAGGGGCCTTCTACTATACCTATATCATCAGATAACCAGATAATTGACCAATTTATTGATTCCATGCAAATGACAAGTTCTGACACGTTTCTGTACTGACTGATGCTTACTAAGTATATTTCAATTGAATGTTCATAACATGCATTATAAGTATATTGTGCAAGTTGCAGATCAAAAATTATTTTGTAGATTTATTTAAGTTCTAAAAGTATTCTGAAGTGAATATGAAGTTTTATTCCTTAAGAGAACAAAAAATAAACTATCTATAGATGTGAATATTTTAAAAGATGAAGTTGTATTTTTAGTAAATTAATATCAAAAATAATTCTGAAATCCAAAAATATAAAGTGTTATAGAAAATTGTTGATGCATAATGTATACTTGACATTGATAGAGCGATGATGAAATTTTGAAAGATCATTTGAAAACTCTAAAATTTTTGATGCACAAATAATATTTTATTAAAATGTTTACATTCTAGAAATAATACACATAAAATACGTTACGATTTAATGTAGTGAGTTATTAAAAAAAATGATGAAATTTATCAATAAAGATATTGTTATCAACTAACATTACTGTCTAAATAAATTTTAATAAAGAATTTTCTCAATTCATAAAGTAACAAAGTTACATTACATACTTCGGACTGCTTTGAAAATTTTATAACATGTTCCAATTGGTGCTTTTGTTCAACTGTCAATTCTGGCTGTATTTTATTTACTAAAAATTAAAAAATTCTACATTAGTGTCCATCTTATTTTTATTTTGTTATTGAAATATCTACCTTTCCAACAGTTATCTCGATTAATCAATTCAACAAAGTAATTATGATTTGTTGGATTCTCAGACCAAAAAAATGTTACGGTAACATGCTCTACACTGTCAATCATTTTTGAATCAATATGTACATCCAAAATATCTTTGTACCACTTGTATGATTTCTTCAATGCACCCCATTGTTTTTTTAATTTATCTTTTGACTTTTGATCTTCTACAAATAAAAATTATAAATGATATTTTTGATGTTAAAAAAAGTAGAATCATATGCATTACCTTCTTCTAAATCAACTATTCTAGAAATCACATTTGTGTGTTTTTCATTCAGGCTTTCAATACTCGCTTTTGCTTTTTCAACTTCTTTGATAATGTTGGATGTTTTCTTTTCATTTATTTTTTGTTCTGTTTTTATTCGTTCATACTGAGTTTTTAATTCATCCATTTGATGTGTTAAACGTGATAAAGCATTAGAGCTGTGTTCATATTGTTTGGCATGTTCTATTTAATAAAAAAGTGGAAAATCAATTAAAATTTAATTACATTAAATTAAGAACATATTAAGAAATGTTTGTCGTTGTACCTGAACTCTTAGATATGGTATCAAGAACTCCTTGCTCTAATTTTTTTTGGAATTCAGCACAATTATCTTTCAATTTTTTTATGTAAGCATTCATTTGGTCTGAATTGAGAAGTATACTTTCAAGATCCACTGACAACAGTTCATCATGCTCTGTCATAGTCATGATTAAAGACAAAAATTTATTTACAAACACTTTGTTTTTTACTTCTTATGCAGTTGTTTATTTTGTATACATCAATGTACACAAACGGACTCTAGTGTAACTGACGTTTTAACGTTTGAACTCTGAATTATGCCGAGTCGGGTCCAGTAACTTTAGGCGTCCGCGGCAGCTGTTGCATGTTTTCGCGCCAGTTTCTCGACAGTAATGACGTGCAAAATAAGTGCGGGGAACTTTGAAATTGTAAATTAGCCTGACCTCTGATTTTATATTTTATTAAGCTTAAAAATTATATCATTTACGAGAAATATGCAGAAAAAATGGCACGCGGATTGTCATCATGTAAGTTATAACCAATAACAAATTGTATGAATTGAGTAAATAATTCGATTGTACGTTCAAGTCACAAGTAAATTTATAATAATATGCTGCATACAATAATCTTCATTTCGTCATTCGTTATAAGTAATTATTACTAGATTTTTTAAATAAATTGATTATAATAAGTAAGTTTCTTTAACTTTATTGTAAGTTTAACGCACTATTACTAAGAGTTTTTGAAATAGATTTATTGGGGTATATGCCTAGAAATTTGAAAATAAATTATTTAAAGAACCGACAATTTTTTGGTACTAATTTATTTAGATTATACTGACTTTTCTAAAAGTAAGAATATTTATAAAAGAAGCTGAATTTACATAATAATATAAATAATATAAATAAGCATACCTAAATTTGAAAGCCACGAATGCCTGCAAAAATAAAAATGTTGTCTTCAGATCGCATAACATTACGTCAATAGAAATTATTTGGTGATTTAAATTTTTTTTCCCCGGTTAAACTTTCGTTCATTTTGTTTATATTAGGTATTCACAATAACGGTGTTTGAAAAGTTATGATTTATTTATTTTTATTTTGACTTCCGTACAATAAATATAAGACAAGCGGAAAAAATACGATAGTAAATCATTCGATTTATTACAACTTATTTCTATTTTTTCAAAAGTCTATTAATATTTTAAGTAACATGAAAATAATGAAAGTCGTATGTTTTTTTAAAAGATTTATATCGCATGACGTATTTTTTTTTTAAATTTGATATCAAAAAATGTAATCAAACTGACTTATAGATGAAAAAATCGTATGAACAATTTTTAAAAAGTTTAATGATGATGGAGCCACACATAAAATGATTTCGAATGAGCTTGCAAATCGGAAAAAAACAAAGCTATAAGTACAAGTCTTTTTTCGTCATTGGAATCAGATTTCTTTTGCGGTCGTCTGAGTTCGAATCAACGCCAAATTAACATATGATCAATAAATATTTGAACAATTGAATTCGAGGTTGAATGTGAGCTTAACTTAAGAATGTGTGCACATCATTAAAAATTGCATTATTGAATCAATTTCTCGTAACAAAATATGCATGTTTCAATATTACGAAACATACCTTAAGTTACGAAATGTAATATATCAAATAAATTGATACCAATAAAAAAAATCTGGTAATGCTGGTTGCATTTCTCATTTTTGATATCATAACTATGATGTAACTTTTTCCGTGTTTTATAAATAATAAAATATTTTCAAGATTTTGGTTTTTTGAGTACACTAACGATGTAACGTCATTAATTAAATGCATGCTTATACTTAGAGAGAAGATTGGAATGCAAAGTTTCCCAAGACAATCGTGGTAGATCTTAATGATTTTTTAAGAGATGATAGTGACTCAAGCAATTTATTGTATATTTTTAAAATTTTAAAATAGCAAGTACATTTCATTTATTTAACATCTATTCATTTTGATCAGTGACCATGCTTTGAATGAAGATAATGAATAGCTGAGTATATTAATTAGATAAAGTAATTGCACAGCAAAGTGGCTGTATTTAATGAATATGTTTACTTTTCCTTTTCATCGAAGAATGTGTTTATTATTTTTACAAATTTTTTAATAGCATTTCAATCAATAATCAGTAAAACCCAATTTTGTTTTATAACTGCATCATTTACATGAGCGTTTAAAAATAATAAATGAATCATCAACTTGTAAATCCAAAATTGAAATTGAAATCTATAAAGCTCGTGTTAATTGCTTATATGAGAAATTGCAACAGATTTAGTATTAAAACGAAGGAAAATTGGGGAAATAACGATCGAATTTACGAGATTGCGAGTATTTGTCATTTCAAAACAGTTATTTAGCTTCAAATTTAATGAGTGTTGATTCAGATGTAGGCCTTATGCAGTTCTTGTATTTATAAAAGTGATACGATACTCATAAGCCACTTGGAAATCCAAATTTTAGTTTTATACTTTTTTACGCGAACGGATCATCTCATCGCATTGCAACGATGATCATGAAAAATTCGTTCATAATTTTTATCCTTGGTCTAATTTATTTTTCGGTGAGGAATATTTTGTGATTTTTATCTTGACGCTATGAATGTTAATTTTCTCAAGTGTAGGATTCAATACTAACCGAAATACATTTTGTCACTTCATTTTTTATAATATTTTACAGATAAGCGTTGTAAGCGGAAGTAACAATGAAGGGATTGTATTAATACAGGTAAAATAGATAATTATATTTGTTAATATAGCAGCTTTTGTTGCAATTTTATTAAAATTTGAATGATATTTAGACTCCTCAAGGTTTTATTCCAATTCATCAGCATGATCGACGACCTTTCAGCCAAGTAAAGACAAAACTTACAGAAATAAATTAAACGATTATACATGACATCAAAAATTAAAAATAACCAATTTTTTTATTTAGAACGTTGATCAAGCAAATTTTAACGATCAAGCGAGATTAGAAGCTGAAGCGGAAGCTGCACGTGTCCAACAGGTGAATTTAAATTCATAAAAGAAAAATATATTTAATTTATAGTAATTTGAAAAGTACATTAGTACTTATAGAAATTGTTTTTTGCAGCTTCAAGCACAAGCCGAAGCAGAAGCTCGTGAAGTAGCAAAGGTAACAAAATAGCTATGCAAAATCGTACGTTATTTTTTTCATTAATCACGCGTATTATTAATTTTATAGATTAAAGCAGAAAGCAAAGACGTAGAAAATGTAAGTATTGTTTTGAACTCTATACTATATGAGTTACGATAATTTCTTATCTTGTGTTTGGTCATGCAGGAACTTTCAAGTTTCAACACTCGATTCAACGTATGGCTCAAAGCTTTCCAAGATAGGTTTCAAGTGATTCTAGACTCAGAGCATCTGTTGGTCAGTCAATTGGCTAAAATAATTGAGAACAGCCCAGCCGATTTCAAAGAAGTCCACGGCAAAACGCTGGAAAGCCTACGCCTGGGTTGGCAGAATATGAAACTGAAGGTCCATCAAAGAGTGGAAAACCAAAAGCAGCTTTTGTTGCAACGATGGATCAGATTGAACACAATCGGCGGCGAGCTCGTGATCAAGCCACCCCACGAGTTTGACCCGAAAAACGCAACTCTGCGAGACATCTGGCGCGCGGAGGTTCAGCATTGGCAGGATGCCAAGCAGAATCTCATAGACGAGTCGATGCTCATGCTCGATGTCGACATCATCATCGTGTCCGAGACCATCTCGACTTTCGTAAAAACGGCATTGGTGAAGCTCGAGAGCGTCGCGCAAAAAGGCAGCCAGCACTTCGAGGTGCTGAAGCAACTCTCCCAAGCGATCTTGAGCAAATCGCGCGAGCTCGGCATTAAGCTCGACGGCAGTGTCTCGACGACCGAAGGTTCCTCGAGCTTCTTGGCGAAAATCAAGGAGATCGTCGCCAGTGGCGCGGACAAGGCTCACGGAGTCGTTCACAGCGCCGGCAATGGAGCTCAGGATGCCACCGAGATAGCAGCTGGCACCGTTCAAGGCGTAGTGAGCGGCTTGGCCGAGGGTCTCCACGGCGTTATCCACTCGGCCGCTAAAGGCGTCGAGGGGGCCGCCCACGGAGTCGTCGGAGTTGCCGAAGGTGTCGTGAACGGAGCAGCGGGCGGCGCCGCCAATGTAGTCACTGGAACCATCGGCGGGGTCCAGAACGTCGCGCACGGAACTGCCCACGGCGTCAAGACCGTAGTAGGAGGAGCACTCGATGTCGCCGGTAACGTGGCCGTCGGAGTCCAAGGCGCCGTCGAAGGAGCAGTCGGCGGTGCCGCTAAGATCGCCGGTGGGGCAGTCTCCGGAGCCAAAGCTGTTGTGGGAGGAGCAGTTAGCGGGGCTGCCAATCTCGCTGGCAAAGCAATCACTGGAGCAACGAATGCCGTGAGTGGAGCAGTTGAAGGTGCTTCCAAGATCGCCGGGCAAGCTGCTGCTGGAGCCAAAACTGTTGTGGAAGGCGCCGTTGGTGGTGCCGCTAAAGTCGCCGGCGGAGTAGCCGGTGGAGTTAAAACTGTTGTCGGAGGGGCCGTTGGTGGAGCCGCAAAGATCGCAGGAAGTGCAGTTACCGGGGCCAAAACTGTCGTAGGTGGAGCCATCAATGGTGCAGCAAATATTGCTGGCGGAGTAGCCTCTGGAGTCTCTGGTGCTGTGAAAGGCTTCGGTAATTTGTTAGGTGGAATCTTCGGTGGAGCCTCCGTGAAGGAGGTAGAGCACGAAGAACACCACGGCCAGCATCACGGACAGCACCACGAGCGACCTCATGGTCCTCCGGCTAAAGTTGAACAACAGCCCGAACTACCTGTGAACAAGGAGTTATTGACCGATGAAGAGATAGAAGCAATTAAGGGTGGTATTGGAAAACTCGATGCGAGAACATTGACTAACTAATTCTGCAAAATAGTTTTTTACCTTGTCCATAATATTGTACTATAATAGATCATTAATATTATATACTAATTATATATGTATTAATTTTTTCTAATAAAAACTACTATGTTTATCATTGGATACTACATTACTTTTTATTTTTTCAATTTAAAGATTTATTAAAAAGCATACACTTGCAAAATGCATAGATGCTTGCTTCTATGTATTAAAATAGCATTATTTTCATCATAGTAATGAATCAGAATATGAAATTTTATGAAAAAATTATGAATAACACATGTATTATTGATAATAACTACATGAACTATAACTAATATGTCTTGATGAAACATAGTATAGAAACTTATTTGCATAGCTTGAAATTTGTAATTTCTTTATGCTTATATTTAATTTTAAATTGTACTCATCAGGCTCTCTGGGTTATAAATAGTATGAATCAATACTATACTATAACAGCGTTTTTGGGACATAACTGTACTTTTTGATTATTTAAATTCCCTACAGTTTTTAAACTCATACTTCTATAATAATACTTTAAAAATAAAATGCAACATAACTTCATTACACATGCCTACTATTGATACTCTTAAGTATATAACAGTCTTGAACATTTTTCAAAACATTAATAAAAAGTTATGTTATATTCTAGTAGTGCTACCTTCAAGGTATCAACAAAGTTGTTAATTAGAATCTTTTTTCTAAAATAAAAATTTTAAGACTTAGAAAGGCAAGTGAACTAATGGATCGGTCAGAAAAAGTCCTTTTAAAAAGTTGTTGTATTCAATCATATTTTGTCTTGTTTCGATGTTTGAATGATTTACATTCATCATATCCAGGTGTGTCTCTAAAATAAATATATTTATTATTTCAATTTTTTCATTTACAGTAATTAGTATTTTATCTATTTACCTTTATTTGAATTTTCTAAACCAATATTCATTTGATGCATAGAGCTGAAATCCTTTGGCGGCATGCACACACTACGTATAAAATCATTACTATGTTCATTCGAATTATGTGTAACGACAGTTCTTAAGTTACCGATATTTTCTAAAAAAAATTAAATAATTTTAATACCTTTCTTTTGTTTACATTTTATGTATATATACCTGAATAATAATTATTTGGATCAATGATAAATGTAGAAGTTTTATTCACTAAGCTTATATCATTGTCTGGTACAGTGGGCTTCATTGGTACCATACTTGTATTTTCCGATAATTTCCTTTTTTTAACAGCAGGCTCGCTCTTTGCCTTTTTGTCATTTACTAACAACTGAAGAGTTTTAATAACATGACTAGGCAGTGTATTTGAACTTTTTTTTTTGTTTACATAAGTTTGTTCTAACTGCTTCATCAGATTGGTTCGAAGATTTCTCAAATCATTTTCCAAGTTGTCCAATTTATTGAATAAATTGAGACACGTTTGACAAATACTATCATCTTCAGATACAACAACTATGCAACTAAAATATTAAACGATGATTAACGTTAATTGTTTTAGCAGGATATACAAAACAAAAAGTACTTACTTTTTGCCAACAATTTCTCCAATTTTTCCAGCAACAGGAGTCTTTGTAAGTATTGTTGCAGCATTAACCAATGAATATGAGAACCTGTGTAAAGGTTTATCACATACAAAACAGCGATTTTTGGTATCATTCGTCACATCAATTGAATCACTATTGGTAAACTGATCGGCCGCATGTCGTTTAGAACTTTGCTTAGAATTATTCGCACTATTAACGTTGTAGTTTGGCATATTCGATGATTGACTAGCTTGATTTGACATGATAAATCGTCGATATGATGCTTTTCTGCAGAGTAGAATACATAGAATAAAGGTTTTAAAATAAGTCGTCGTAAAAAATTACTGACTGCTTTCAAAAGATTTTTACCGAATGATGATGAAGCTCCTGCTATTATAAGATTATGTTCTAAGTATAACTTTATAACTTTTGACTTATAATCCAAAATACATTGAAATTATATTCTTCGTAATGGAAATGTTGTTGCTGGAGAAGCTAACGTCTCAAACGCAAGCGATCGGCAACTGTTTTGCTTCTGGGCGCGCATATTCGTAGCACGCTAGACCTTGGTAGGTGTAAACACTATTGATACTCTGGTTGAGATTTTTCAAAGTTCTTAGTGAGATGTTTAAATTAGTATAAAACTTCGAATAACGTTTATTCTTTGGGTTGTAATTATATTGTATTTAAATATTTTTCGCAAAAAATCTTAAACTGGATTATTCTTTTTTATGCTCTGTAGTCTGCTGCATCAAACTCAAACAAGTGCGCGCGCGCTTTTGATAAGGAAAAATTCATACGCCGGCGCCGCACGAGATTGACATTCGCACATAGAGGATAATATGAAGGCTCTTTTATTTTGACATATTATCACATCATCCCGAGCCCATTTTAACTCAAAATGAGCTCAAACGAAAGCTTCCAGTTGGAGATATGGAAAGGCGATTGGGGTCTACCCTCAGTAGAAGTTGACTGTCTGAAAATTCTCGTAAGTAAAGGCGAAAATAATTTCAGAGGTTAGATGGTCTTTATTGATTATTTTGATTTAGATGCATGCTTTTGCATATGTGGGTAATTTTTTATATATTCAGAATTTCGAATTGATTCCGTTCATTCAGGAGATCAATGAAAGTTACTAATAATTTTGAGACAAATTTCACTATTCAAAAAAATAATTTTAATACATGATTATTGTTTTATATTTGCAGGCGTATGCCAAATTCAGTAATTTGTCGCTGCATGTAAAAACCACTAATAATCCGTTTAAGTCTCCCACTGGTCAACTACCAGTTTTAAGGTATCAAAATGAAGTTTATACTTCAGTAGATCAAATATTTGATCTCTTTCAGCAACACAAATTTACTCCAGACAATGATATAACAAGGTTGCAAAGTGCTGAAATTGATGCATTTAAAACTATGCTTGATGAATGTGTAAGGCCTGCAATTCAATACTTATGGTAAAGACAATTTTTTTAACACGTTAATTCAATTTTTTATGCTAACATAACATCGCATCAAATTGTTCAAGGTGGGTAGATGTACAGAACTTGAATCAAGTTATAAGACCTTGGTATTGCAAAGTATTATCTTTTCCATTTAATTTTTATTATCCTGGAAAATATGAAAAACAAGCCAAGTTTATGGTGGAAGCTCTACATCCAACTAAAGAAGAAAAGGATGCTGAAGTTTCAGTAAGTTATTAATTGTAATATTTATTGTTTATATAATAAAATAAATTTATGTGCTAGTTATTATTATTGATTGATATTTTTTGACGTATTTTTATAGATATATTCTAAAGCTCAAAAGTGTATCACACTATTATCGACTAGACTGGGAGAATCAAATTACTTTTTTGGTTCAAATCCTACAACTTTTGATGTTTTAGTTTTCTCACATTTGGCTCCTATCCTCAAAGTACCGTTACCAAATTGTTCTCTGCAAAATCATTTGAAAGCCTGCAGTAATTTAGTTAAATTTACAAATGGTATTCTTCAAAAATACTTTGAGGATGACTATCAAGAATATGAAAAATCTAAATCTGAGAAAGAAATGAAAACCAAAGTACAAAAAGATGATTTTCCAAATAAAAGAAGAAACCAAATTCTAGCTGGAATTTTTGCTGGAACTGCAATGCTTGGATATGCATGGTCAATGGGTATTGTTCAAGTAAGAAAAATAATGAAAATACAATAATGCCTGATTTAAATGTTATGTTAGTAAAGGAAATTGTTGTCTTTTTAATTTTTAAAAAATCTACAAACTTGAATTATTTAATTTGTTTAGATTATATTATGCATTCAAATTTAAAAATTTTTTACTTTATTAAATTTTTTAAGTTACTACTATTATTTTAATTTACTTTTCAAGATTCATTAATCTATAGCATGTGAAAGGCATTTCTGCTTGCTATTAAAAGTAGGTATTATTTTATTTCATTTTAAATATCACATGTCTACTTAGAATTGGTAATTTGAGACCATTTGATAAATACTGCATCATAGATCAATTTTCATCAATGACTCATCATTTTAAATGTAAAAAAAATATTATTATAAAATGCACTGGTTAAATATTGAAAAATATATGAATCTCAGAAACGATTTCTTTCTACTAAAAAATAAATATTTTTGCTATAAATTTTGGTTGAGTGTTTAAAACAGTAGTTTATAATTATTGTAGGTAATTACCTATTTAATACGAAGCAGAAAATTTCTTAGGCTTTCGAAAGGTGGTTCAAAACGTGAGTATAAAATACCTTAGTAGTATTTGTTTATTCACCATGTACCACTTCCTAGTACATTGAAATGAACAAAAATATGTAGATGATTAATAGTCATAGCAAGTAATAAGTGCATTTTAAAATATGAAAATAAAATCTTTCAAAAACAACCGAAAAGTTTGAGTGTATTGTAATAGAAAAATTTTCGTTTGTTGCAGGCTCCGGAAGATGATTATAGACAAATGGAATACATGTATGCTGACGATGCCGAAGAAGACGATGATGAATAACATTCTCAAGCACAAGTTATATCTCGTGAACTTTTAAATTAAGGAAAATTTGTTCATTTGAAATGTTGACTATTTATAGTTTTTTGTTCTTTTTTTTTACATTTATTACCATTCAACTTAAAAGTTTTTTTCTTATGTACATATGCAATTGGAATGATTGCGCAATGTTGAAATGATAATTGTTAGTTCATATACATAAAAAGCAATAAATTATTTCTTAATTTAATCTTCATTACGTTCTCTAATACTTCTTGGTCTATATCTTGGTACGACGCCAATCATTGCTGCTTCAATTTCTTCACAGAAACTAGAAAAATTATGCACTGTGGTACCACCTAAAATTATTTTTATGCCTGGATTTTGTTTATTTAAATTATGGACTGCCAAACTTTCTTCATATGTTGTGCCACCAATAATAAATACTATTATGTCTTGGGGTCTGTTGAAAAAATGTTAGTTAGACTTATTGAAAATCAATTTTGTTCAATTGTATGTAAACCATAACAAAAATGGGTACCTTCTTGTCAATACTGCATTTCCAAGATATGGAAAAACCTGAGGATTCAATTTGCCTTTTATAAGATCTTCAATTGTTTCATTTAGTAAAGGAGTGTGTTGTGTGTAAATATTATCAACTCCATTCAATCCTTTGAATAATTTTTTTGTTATTTTAGCAACAGCTTCTTTATCAAACAAATTTATCTGTTTAGTAGAAATACCACTGTAGTCGAGTATACTGTATACAAGCTGTACAGAAAACAGTTGTTTATTGCATATCTGATATTTTTTCATTTATTCAAAATGCATTACAATTTATACAAATAGTTTTTTAACGTTACCTTTGTAAATCTTTCTGGAACATCTCTGTTCTTCAGTAGTGAACATAAGCCAGCTATGTCATTATTAGTATGCTTTGCATAATGTAAAGCATACAACATTACTAATCGAGTAGCATCAATGTCACGCACTCTTGTGTTACTAACTAATCTTTTAATTTTCTGAAGCTATAATAATTTTAAATTTTTTTATAGAGATAAATATTTTAATGAAAGTTATCAAAAAGTATAATTAATGATAAGTACTTGCGAAGAATGCTCATTTTGACAACTAAGTTCTTGTTCCAATTCAGATACTTCTAATAAATTATGAGTTCCAACTAAGTTAGAAAGTTCTCCAACCACTGTTACATGTTTTGCAACGGTCCCAGACATTTTTTTAAACAATGGATATGTTTCAACAAAATTTTTCATGTCTGCAATGCTCTCTACTTTTTCATGTTTTTTAGCTTTCTTTTGAAACTCTTCCATTAAATCTTTTATTACTTGTCCAATTTCACCAAAATTCAGGTATTGATTCTACAAAATTGTAAAAAATTATTACCAATCTATTAAAATTAATTCAATTTACAAAATATTAATTATTATGTTTATTCTCACATTAGCATAAAATTCATCGTGTTCCGAACTCAGCACAACTTCTTTTAATTCTTTTGAAATGCCTTTGACATTAGATAAGTCTACTCTATTATTATTAATTGTTAACAATTCATGCACCATGGCTTGGTATGTCCACTGGTTTAAAAGAGGTGTAACTGGATCATCTCTCCTATCAAGTATTAATAGTATAGGATTGGACTCTTGTCTGAATTCAAAAGAATTAGACTCTTGAGTCAAGACGTATCGAATTTTTTCAGCTAAATGTTTGCACATATCTGAACTACCTTGATAACGAATTAGGGGACACTTTTTCAATGATAATAATACTGCTGTTATTCCTTGTACGGTTCTTTGCAAATGTGTTGGTTCCCAGTTCAAACCTAAATAATTTATTTTATTACAATTACTTTTGCACGTAAAGCATCAAATTATTAGTTATTAGCTTACTTTTGGAGCATCCATTAATACCCAATGAAAATAAATGTGGACTTATGGCCAGGTAGTCTGCATAAAATTCATGAACTTCACGAACTACTTCTTGTTCATCACTTTCAGCCAAAAGTTTTATGTCTGTCTTTGGAATTATGTTACTGAAATCTAATATTATATTTTTAATATTTAATACATATCAAATATCAAATTTAAATCAGTCTTATAAAAAAATCATACATACATATGTAATAAACTCCATACTTTGGGAACCGGAGTTCATTGCAGAGCAATCTGACATTTTCTTCTGTAGGCCTTATAAAAACAATACACTTTAAATGCTTGAGTCCTTCGTTGCGTACTGCAGCATCAAGACGGTCAAATAAATAAACTTCCTTCATCAAAATTTCAGACTGACTGTAGACCAAACTAATGATGCTGGTCTGAAATTTTAAGTTTAAATGCAGTGAAACAAATTAGTAATCTGTAGGTAATAAAATATTTCTATAAAATAATTTTATTTATAAAACTATATTGCCATTAATTTTACAAGATTTAGATATAAAGTGTTGATGAAAAAATGTGTACTATGCAACATAGGCATTTGATTAAAGTCGCACCCAAAAAATTTTTTTTATCAAAGCATTGGATCAATACCGTTTGTTTATCCATCAGCAAGACCTTCATGCCGGGGCCGCTTTCTTCCGTCATTTTCGCCACATAATATTTCACAGCGGTGATCACGTTCATTTTGTTAAAGCAAATTTTTATATATACTTTTAGATACAAAACCTATACAGATATATACACGCAAGTATCAATAATTGATTTAGATGTACTATGTTAATACGGACACTGCAGCATGACTGATTTTATAAAAATAGCTCGGACATTGTGTTATCAGTTATTCTGATGTCATGGCATACGGACTCCCCTTACAGCAGACGTGAGAATCTGTCAGTAGTAGTCATCAGTACTGACACTTCACTATCCTACTGTACACATTGTGCACCAAACGACCAGCTGGAAAGCTAGTACCGTAAGTAGGTGTAATAATTTCAACTATAGTATAGTATGTGTTCTGCAGTGTGGGTAGTATATATACGTAACGCAGGCGCTTTACGTCGTCTTCGGCCGCAACGATTCCGTGTTACTTCCAGGAGTTCCAGGTTAGTATTTTCATTCACTATTCACGTGCGCGCTGCGACTGACTGATTGACACAGTGTGACTGACAAACTTCCATCAAGTTTTGTAAACAAATTAATTGTGGCGTGAACTTGTTGATCGAATTTTACATTGATTAAAGGAAGTTAAACATAATACATGAGAATTGATTGGTTAGTTTAACTTTATTTAAATAATATTTAAAAAATAATACCATCTATTTAACTCAATTTAATCTTGTTTTCAGAATATGGCCACAAATATGGATTTTAAAGAACTAGAAGCAGACGAAGCTATTAAGAAAAAATTAACAACAATGTCTCAAGCGCTTGACAAAATTGAAGAAGTGTTTAAGTTTGCAGAAGAAAAAGGATTTTATGAAAAATTATCAAACAAACAAAAAATTGACTTCAATATTTTGTTATCTTTCAGTTTAAATAGTTTATTTTGGATGTATTTAAGGGCAGAAGGTATATACTTATAAAAGATTTATTATTAATTTGAATTTATAAATTATATGTATTGAATAAATATTTCCATTCTCTTTTTTCTAGGAATCGACCCAAAGAAACACAAAATCACATCAGAAAATGATAGAGTAAAATCAACATTGTTACGAGCCAGAGAATTGTTTAAAAAAGACCCTCTTCAACCAAGAATAGATACACAAGTTGCTAAGCGATTCATAAAGCATAGTTTATGGGTTCCAATTGAAAATAAAAATGAATCAATTAATACCAACGATGGCAATGAGACCGGTACAATGGATACTAGTCAAACTGAAGAAAATTGGGATTAATTTATTGAAAAATATATTTAATTTTGTATACATTTTTGAATTATTTAGTGTATTAATTATGTACTATATTACAATTAAGAAATCTTGACAGTTTTCTTTAAAGAAAGTTTAAAATAAGACTGTTTTGTGTAAATATTAAATTTACATATGCATAAAAATAAAACCAATTTTTTTACCGTACTTTTGCCTAAATTAATTTATTGTACCTAAATAAGTATTTTACAATAAAATTATTTTAGTTTCAGTTTTATTATTTATTTTGGTAAAAGATTTTTGAGCATTTAAAGTTATTTATAGGTAAGGATTAATGTATCCACAAGAATCAATAGTAGAAACGTCGTAGGAAACATATAGATAGGTATGAGGTATATTCATTTAGCTTATGCGCATTACAGTCCGTATCGTGTGCGACAATTGTCGCCTACCCTCCTCACCAATACATACTCGTCGGCTTTTGAGTCTCGCTTAGCTGCATTTACTTTTGGTCTTTAAATTTATCGTCTGCAGTGTTGTGTGATGTGAGGCGAAATTTCGTTCTCTACTAATTAGTTATCAATTGAAGACAATCCAATACAGCTATATACAGCTATACTATAATAAAATCAAGCGAACAGCAAAGATGACTTTTTTTCTGTAAATTTATCGATTACGTTTGCTACTGTACTCAATACGAAAAAGTATTGAAAATAAGGTTAAAATTATTTTCGTATTTTGAGATAATCTCAATTGGTAAATATTATTGGCTAATTGTCATTTGAATATTCCTTGATCAGGCAAAATGGCTCTCAGTCGATTTGCACGGCCTTTATTACTGAATGCTCAAAAATTCAACTATTTCAAAGTGGTTGCTGTCAATAGTTTCAATCACAGGCCAGAGTGGGAAATTTGTGTTTATCAACACAAAACACAATGCAGAAATTTCAAAAATTTTGGGCACAAGAGAGAGAAAATTCCACCTCTAACTGGTTTAGTGACATTCCTCTTTTTTGCATCCAGTGTTATGGCAATAGTAAATTGGCGATGGTAGATTTTATCTTAGTTTTTTTTTTAATTTTAAATGAAAATTTTCTTTAAATTCATATAATTTTATTTATTATAGGATCAAGTCTTTCTTTTTCCCAAGTGTGGAAGCTGCAGCTAAAATACAACATGGTGAGAATGAAGAAGATGAAGATATATCGGATGTCGATGAACATGTATCAGAACATGATGAACACAAAAAGAAAAAAGGCAAAAAAGTTGGATTTCGAGATAGAAAGGTTCATTACTCTTTTATCATGTCTCAAAACTTGAATTTTGATTTGACTTATCATTTGTTTTTTTAATATCTTTTTATTTTCATTTTGAATACTCAATTTTAAGTATAATTTTAGTTAAGCCAGCCATCAAAATTAATATATTTTATTCACACTTGAAGTTCAGATAATAATTATTCCATAAAAATTAGATATAACATTTTTATGTAAAATCCCATAGATAAAGTAGTTTTAATGATTTTGCATGGAGCATTTTTCCAGATAATAGAGTATGAAAATCGGATGCGTGCATATTCAACCCCAGATAAAATTTTTAGGTATTTTGCTACTGTAAAAGTCATAAGTCTGGAAATGTCAGAGACTTATATGACCCCCGATGATTTTTTAAGAGCTATTACACCAGGCATGAAACAGCCAGATGGTAAAACTTATTAAACATTCTCCTTACATTTGCTTGATAAGACAACATGATTAACTGATTTGTTTTGTCACTATTGATAACGCTGGTAATTATGATTGCCAATGTATCTTTTCAACTATAATTATTAAAATTTTCTACTGCGTAATTAACTTTCAATACAAACTAACCAATGGAAAATTGCTGGTTTTCATAAATTTTATTTCTCAATTCATTTATGTTAATCATACATCACTCATTTATTTATCTCATGGAAATTGTTTCTACTATTGATAATATAAAGTGAAGGGATAGAATATTTTTTGGTGAAAAAAAAAACATAATACCTTGTTTCAAGTTTCATTCTATTGTGGAATAAAAGTGTACATTTTTTATGCAGATAGTTGAGTATGAGAACCGAATACGTCAATTTTCGACTCCAGATAAAGTATTTAGATATTTTGCAACGCTCGAAGTTATTAATCCAAACAATGGTGCACACGAGGTGTTGATGACTCCTGATGATTTTTTAAGGTCTCTCACACCCGGTGTCCCACAACCTCAGGGTAACTTTTGAGTTGATTCAGTTTTTGGTGTTTTCAATCCTCAATTGAATATTAGAAATTATTCGCCAATGATTTTGGTTCATTTTTTAGAATTGTTTGTATTACTATATTTGGGTGAATTTTTAAAAATATTTTTATTCTTTTTCTACGCTTAATAAAACTTTTCTGCACAGACATGCATGTTTTTTTTTTGCTTACTTGAATCTCTTAATCATGAACATAATAAATCTTTTTTCTAATTCTGTAATGCACAAAGTATAATATGAATTATTTAACACTTCCCAGATTTTAAACTAATTTTAATCCTTATATTAAAATCATGATAATTTTCTTTTAGGATTAGGATTAGATAGATATAAACGGTATGATCCAAAGGTGGGTACATATTTTACTTAGTTAAAGAATATAGATTTTATAGTTAACTGTTAATTATTACTATTACAGACGGTGCAGAACAAATTGGATTTGGATTTAAATGAAAATAGTATTTTTTATACACTTGGTAGTTATGGACTTATCACATTTTCAGATTACATATTTTTATTGACTGTACTGTCAAGTAAGTTGACTTAATTGATTGTTTTACTTTAACATAATATTTATTGAATCTGTTGTTATTTTTCAAATTAAATATTCTCATTTTATTTCAGCTTCCCGTCGTCATTTTGAAATAGCATTCAGAATGTTTGATGTTAACGGCGATGGAGACGTTGATTATGAAGAATTCAACAAAGTTTCTAATTTAATTCGTCAGCAAAGTAGTATTGGTAGCCGACACAGAGATCACGCTAATACTGGAAATACATTTAAGGTATTTTCATATTTCATCTGAAAATTAATTATACAGTTTAATAATATTGAAAAAATTTAATTTGTCAAAAAATGTTGTAATTAGGGAGTCAATTCAGCTTTGATGACTTTCTTTTTTGGGTCGGATTTGAAAAAAAAATTGAAAATCGAAAAATTTTTGGAGTTTCAAGAACAGTTACAACGAGAAATACTGAGCTTAGAGGTATTTGAGACTTACTTGATGTACATTTTTTATTTTTGTCGATTACTACAAAAAGATAATTGATTATTTTTAGTTTGAACGCAAAGCTCCAGATGAAAATGGATACATTAGTGAAGTTGCATTCACAGAATTACTTTTAGCTTATGCCGGATTTTCGGAAAAAAAGAAATCTCGTATCGTCAAAAGAGTTAAAAAAGTGTATGTATTCTCAAATTTAGTGGAGGATTAAAATTTTCGTGATTTTACACAAATTATTTTTTAGGTTTAAGGATTGTTCACAAGGTATTCAGAAAGAAGATTATTTAAAATTTTATCGATTTCTAAGCAACATAAATGATGTTGATACAGCTTTAACTTTTTACCACATTGCTGGAGCATCAATTGATCCAGGTAAGCATTAAAATGATATGGAGTGACAAAAGATTTTTAAAACCTGAATTATTTGTTATAGCTACTCTGAAGCATGTCGCTAAAACAGTGTCACAAGTTGATTTGTCTGATCACATAATAAAAGTAGTTTACTGTATCTTCGATGAAAATAGTAAGTTCTTAACTATTTTTTCTTCGAAATTTGAATCAAACCTATACAACTTTAATCGTGGCATGTTTTTTGTCATTTTAGTGGATGGTCAACTGAGTAATCGGGAATTCGTAGCAGTGATGAAGAACCGTGCACTCCGAGGACTGGAAAAACCTAAAGATACAGGCTTTGTTAAATTACTACAGTCGATAATCAAGTGTGCTAAAAATAATTACGCTGCATAAGTTTTCGAAGCCGAACTAAGTCACTACGTCGCATAAGGAATCCAAGTTTCTTTGTTTGTTTTTTTTCTAATATCGTATACTTTTCCAGACAAATAATGCACAAATTCGTGTATAATATGAGATAACTCCGGTCTTTTATAGGCTTACGTCGAAGAATTGAGCTCAAATTTTATCCAATATTTAAAAGAAAATGCTGGATTCTATTAATATAACTCTTATACGTATAATTAACGTTCGAATAGTCGCTCGTAACGAGGACGGTTTAAAATAGCTTGCGTATCAAATAATATATTGTAGATTAAAATATATTGTACAAATACGAAAAATTTCACTCTGAATAAGGTCACCGCTTTGTTTATGCGTGAAATTACTATATTGCTTTATTACCGGATGAAAAGAGATTGTAAGACAAGGTTCTTGTTTTTCTCGGAGCTAGCCATAACTTTCACACGAGAATGTCCAATGGTGCATGATCGCGTGCTCGAGTAGGGGATCCACACAAAAAAGTAAGCCTGGTCACAGAACCAGTCCGTGTTTATTGTTTATTATTGGACTACTTTCGTTTGATAAACATGGCTAGGTCCGACATTAAGTATTGCTGTTGTTATAAGTGTTCATTAACTCATTTTCTCATTGTGTTCATCCTGATTACTAATCATGTTAATGGTGGTCGCATTCCTGTGAATATGAAAAGTCGTCGCGTGCCATCAGGTATTGTTAATTTTGTGTAATGAATTATTCAAAATACCAATAAAATTAATCGTTCTGAAAACTAAATATCTTGGATTCATTACTATTTCATAATTCATCCCGAGTTCTTTTACTTTTCATCAAGATATGAGCGTTTATGCGAGTGAGGAGTCTCCGGAAATGACGAGGAAGGATATAGTTGAAATGATTCATAAGAGCCAATATTTTCAGTAAGTGGTTTTTTATAGCTGCAATTCAGATCATGGTCGAAATGATTTTCGAACGAAACATTTTAGGGACATTTTCTCGGAACAACCGGACCCTATGATCATACAATTTGGACATGTGTGCGAGAATCCGACCGAGTGGGAGCAGCGATTCGAGCAGAGAGATTTTAACAGCAACCACTACCAAGGGAAGGTAATAGAGTTCGCGGTTCCTTGAATAAATTTTTAAATTAAAATTTTAATTGGAAGCATAAAAAAAAATTGCTAAAACCTTATACTCGTTGCAGATGAGGTGGGGCAACAGAAATGGTGATTACGGAGAGCATTATTGGGATCTGGGCCACGCTGGATAAAAATACTCACTGCGCGTTCTTTATCGAGTAATTACGAATTTTGTATAATGTATACGCGACGTGTTTTTTGAAAAATACAATTTTTTAAAAATGTTTTCCGTCTGCTGTTGAATCAGGCGCAGTCTTTTGTTTATGAAAATTGTCATTCCGTCAGCAAATTTTCAGTGCAAGGTTACTCATCCTTTCGGGTCAACGAAATTTTTCCCAAAACCAATCATTTTTAGTTTCAAACAGTGAAAAAATTCCAAGTATAGCAAAATGAGCTACAAACAGATCGAGTACAACGCGCAGCCGGAGGAATCGAAAGCTTTGAGCTTCCGCGGAGTTCTCGTCAGCAGCGGAGTTCTCGAGCGTCGCAATGGTACACATGCCGATCGATTCGCTGTAAAAATTTCGCGTGTTTCATCGAGCGAGAGCGCCTGTGCGCTGATGATCGATATTTTGCCCAGTTGCATGTTGCCCGAAGCCGAGCAACGAGGACCTGGACAAGTTGACGGTGCGAGAGAACGCCTGGGTGGAAAAACTCGAGCAGCTGGATCAGCAGCACACGCGCGAATGCGGCTTGACGATCAAGGAGGCCCAGCCGATCTTCGACAAGCTCGAGAAGTGGGCCAAGAGCGGCAAGGGACCGGCGTGCCCCGACAAATCCAAGGCAGTAAGACGAGTCGATAATAACGTCGAAAAAAAAAAAAAAGAAAAAATCGGTCGAGCACCGAATCGATGACGAGACTCGTACAGCGAGACATTACCATCTGTGCCGCAGGTATTCAAGTGCTTGGAAAAGAACAGAGGCGAGGCATTAAAATGCAGCGAGCAGGTGGAATCTTTTGTCAATTGCGTCGACTCGGCGCTACGCAAAGCGGCTCAATCGGATTACTCGAAGCAGTCAAAGAAGCTCTCGTACACGGAAAAGTTCGAGCGACTTGTGGTGTAATTAAATTCTCCATGTAGTTTAAAGTGAGTCGCGAAAGGCAGCTTACTTAACCCGTTCTATATATATAATACAGACCTCTATATGCACCTCTATATAAGTGTGTGTGTGTGTGTGTGTGTGTATACACGCGTGCTCGACGCGCGTTAAAGTTCAATGTGTTTTGAGTTTTCGTTTGCCAACGAGGCGGAGAGAGTTTATACTTCTTTTCTATTTTGCTCGCGCACAACTTCGTATCAAAAGCCGCTAATTTCTTCTATCGAGTCAGGGACGAGCGAGCGAGTTTATATAAACTTGTACTCTCTCACTATCTCTCCCTCTCGCTGTTAATGTATTATCCACATTATGCAAGCACGCGGGTACACAGAGAGCCTCAAAGATTATTAGATTTTCGAGCAAACTCGGGGATGGGTATGGTATAGAGCTCGCTCGGGGCTCCGATAAATCAGCAAAAATTCGTCATCGCTCAGCGCGTGTACGATATAGGACGCGCCCCGGCTAATTTCCATCGATGATATACATCATCCTCTTTGGCGTGACAATCGTCGATTGGCGAGAGAGCAATTGATTGCTACAGGTCGTCGCCGTCGCAATAACAGCTGCCGAAAAAGGCCACATCTGTATGCATTGTCCCGTCGTTTGTCGAGTCGATCCGATCGCTCGAGCGATTGTTTCGATGGCAATTGTGCAGGCCGGAATTATTACGGCATCCAGGCGTGTGTGTGAGTGTGTGTGTGTGTGCGCGCGCGGGGGCGGCAATAAGCCAGATCGTTGCCACGCGCGTCCACCAGTTTTTATTCATATTTCAGTGCATCGAAAAAAAAGGCTCGGCGGTGGTGGCGACGGCGACGCGTCGACTATGAGCTCTCCCTCTCTCACGCACACACACAATACGAAAGCAACGCAAACGGACAAAATTGCGCATTCCTCGCTGCGGACTGCGAAAAGCTTTATATCATGTCTGATGCGCTGGGTACTGTGGCGGGTATTTTTGAATTGCAGAAAACACACGCGCAACGCGAATCACAGCGCCGGTGGTATGGAGGTAGTGGTAGCCCAGACAAAACGCATGTCATAAATCGCTGCGTACGCGCTAGCGTACATCCGAGATTTCGAGCCTGTGTGTACGTACACATTATACATACGTGTAGTTTTATACAGAGAGAGAGCGAGTATTGAATTTATTGCTTTTTGCCGCACTCTGCGTTATGCGCGATCCTTTTTTTGTCGGTCGATGTACGCACACATTCGCCGAGTAAGGAACGCGACGAGACGTGATTTTTCGTATATTATCGACTCTATAGCCGATGTAAAAGTGCCACGCCGAGTATACGTGTCAGGCGTATTATAGTACTCGAGCTTGCAACCGCACCTCGTTCTGTGTTGTGCCCGTTACGCGTAGACGCGAGTTTATTCCGCCCCGGCGAGTCCCCGTATACAGCAGTACTTTCGCATGGCGCACATGTGCGTGCAGCAAATACGATGAAAACGCGTACGCCATACCCTCTGGATCAAACGCCGTGACATTGTCTGCTTTTCCGGGCTGGAATTTAATAAAATCATTATTGCCGCGCGTGGTACTATATTCTCGCGAGCACGAGTTAGCCGGGCCCCCGAGTCGAGTCGAACTTCCAGCGGCAGCAGCCAAGTCGATCGACCATGAGAAATAACTTGGCGCTAAATAGTTTGCGTGCATAACATTAATATACTTATTCGCGAGGCATTGAATTCTGCCGCGCCGCTCGTCGTTTGAATTATTTATAACGCCGCGATCCTCTTCCTTTATTCGTCCTTTTCATAGACTTTTTCATTTCGTCGATGGGAGCTGGGGCGCGTACAACGCACTTATATATATCAGACCACGGACTCGTCTCTGCACTCACGTGCGTATTGCATGATTTATCAATACGTAGCAGCAACAGCAGCAGCAGCGCAAACTTTGCATAATGCCAGTTTTGCTTACCGCTGAAATTGACTCGGTACATTATACGTCGCGCGCCAGAAGCTCGCGTCGTCGATACAGCAGCGCGAGCACACGTAGCACACCAGCAGATAAGCATTGTCGCGCGAAACTGGCCAAAGCGCACGACGTATATACTTGTACACATATATTCGCAGCGAGCTCCATGTACGCGCGAGGGTGTGAATGTTTTACGCGAGCTCTTCTTCCTATCGTTTTACGTCGCGCTTGGTCAAGCAAATAAATCTCCGAGCGCTGACACACTTTTCCTCGCGGAGCGCGCGAAAAGCCCCGCCAGCGCTGCAGCTGCAGCCAAGCCGAGGACGCTCGGCAAAATGTTTGATAAACTCGCAGCGCTTCTTTCATCCTGATCGATTATCTAAAATTATCTTTTTTCCGACTGTAACGACCGACGAGCGACCAACGAGAAAGAGAGACGCGAAAGAGAGAGGAAGGAAGGGAGCGAACCAGCGCAGGATTTTACGTGGAAACTTTTTGACGCTCAATCAAAAGGAGAGCGAGAGCTTTTAAATTTTCGTCCCGAAACTTTTAGCATTTTCGTAGCGCCGCCAAAGAAGATAATCTTGGCCGGGCATTCTTTTTTCTTCTTTCTGCGCATAGTTTCGTCATATTCGAGGACTGCAGTGTGGCAGTTTTGGTAAGGCGTAGTCCTTGTCCGGGGATCGTTCGATCGCGTGTTTGTGCATTTATAGCTCAGCGTCGATTGTCTGGCAAATAAAGCCAAAAGGCGAGCATTATGGGCTTTAAAAATGTAATTTGCACTACGCACATTTGTACAACATTTTGGGTCGCGTACTTGCCATTATATACTACGACATGGCCATGCCGCGCGTTACGCGTACCCCCACACACACACGCGCACGCACAGATATAAATTGTACATATGAACATGTCTGTATACTCATTAAACCAATTGACCTGGATTTTCCACGACGTGCATTGCATAATTCATCACTGCATTACCGATTGCATCTCCTCTAGTATATACATATAGCTGTACAGAGCCCGACTCTCCTGCCAAGCTGCGTAAACGGTATACACATACAATACTATGAGCACGAGAGAGAGAAATACGCGTAAACATGTATATAGCACGCTCTACGAGTGACAGATTTAGTCGCATCCATAATATAAGTGCATCGTTGCCGCTACCATTACGAGCTGTGCGCGTATCCCCTGTACAGTACAGTATGTATGCAGCCCCCGACCTACCATACACTATGTGCGACGCCCGTAGCCAGAATATTTTTTCGGGAGGGTCAAGTTAGAAAATAACCCAATTGCTTACATTTTTTTCGTCTTTTTTTGCAATCCCGATCGATTGAATCGACCCAGCTCTTATATTATTCAAATATTTTTTTTGACTATTGGGTTAAAATTGGTGATAGTATCGATTTCATATATTGCTACCAGGTGGCGTATACATAGATTAGTAGAAAGTTATTAGGTTTTTATTATAAAATCTCCTACTGGAAAAGAAGCTGTGTCGTAGTGTTATAAGGCCTCGTTACGAGTTTTTTTTTCATATTATTTCTATATTTTAACATTTTAATAAATATTTTTTTTATTTTAAAAGATAATTTTGAAAACTTTATCGGTTAATATTATACATACTCGTCGCACGAGCGCATTTACGCGTGCTCTGAACTTGTTTCGATGTAAAGTTATCCAATATAAAATATCAGTCCATAGTTCCCATTGAGCTGGATCGGCAAAGAAATATCTCCTGCTCAGCTCGATGTGAGACTTATATTTACATATAAATATTTCAGCCGGGCGCGTCGCTCGGCTCCGCGACTACTGGTAATATTGTGAGTGGAGGCAAGGTATAAGCTCGAAATCTCTTTTTATCGACTTTCTCGGCATTATTTTGCCGAAATTTTGCCTCTTCGATCGATCGCATTCCTAAATTCTTTTTTTTTTTTTTACGCTCTTATATTATGTGTATAGCCACGGAATCTGGAAATGTATGTACTCCTATAATGCGCAGCACGCAACAGCACGTCTGTCAATGCCTCGCCATCAAAAAGTTTACGAGATTCCCTCGGCATAAACCGCGCGCGTAAAACACCCGTCGTTATACACCGGGGCAAATATTACAAAT